AATTTACAGTGACATCAATTGTGAAAACATAACATTTATATCAGCAGATTTTTTAATCTTCAAACAAGTAATAACATTTTTAGCATTTTATTTTACAATGTTATCCACTATATAGGAATTTTTTTTAAATGTGACCACTGCTATCCATCAAGTACTGGACTGCAGTTTGTTTTTCCTCATGATGCTTAATGACATAAGTAGAAGGTGCTGATTTTTTTTTTTTTTTTTTACAGGACTATTTGGTGTTTAATGTTTTTTTTTTTGGGTTCTGTTTTCCATTGTTATATCCTTATTTCAATAGTCATATGTTAGTGATCTCTTCTCAAGTTCATATTTCTTGCTCTGCAGTAAATAGTGGTCTCTATTAAAACACTTCTGGAATTCAGCAATGCTGTCTTCCTTTAAAGACAATAAAGATTTGTGAAAGTAGGTTGGTTTTCAAAATGCAGTCTTGAAATTATAAGGTATAAGTATAGAGCTAGTTTTACCAATCTTTGGATATGTAACACTTGAAACACTTATTTTTGTTAATAATATACTAAGAAACTTTCTTTAATTAATAAGTTTGCTTTCATGGATTGTGAAGGGTAACGTTGATCACACATGGATATCTTCATAAGTGTGTCAGATTCCTTATAAATCACACATAACCATCCTGTAGTGCCATTTCTGTGACACCTACAGTACAGGGTCTACTCCTCCATTCAGTTCTACCATGTGCAGTCTTTTTAAAAACATGGATGTAATCCATTCCAGCAACTTTGGCCTCCCTCATCAAAGTTCTTTATAGGTTTTTGCATGTTGTTTTTGTTTCCTCTAACCATTAATGTTTCATTCCAGGACCTGTTTGGAGATTCTCTGCCTGCTTCTTCTCTGGATGCACCTGATATGTCTGACTTAAAAAAAAAATGTTAGTCATGTTGAAGCAGCTACTAAGAACTTTTGCTTATAATTGCATTCTTATAGCATAATGCTTGTTCACATTGTTGCTTCTTGAATCCTACCTCTGAACCCATCCACTGCAGTAATGACACAATATTAGTAAGATTGTATAATTCTTCATAATACAATTTCTATCATAATCTCAAAACAAAGCAGAACGTGAAACAATACAAATTACATTTTGATCATAAATAAGATTTTATAATTATTCATAATGCAGTTTCTATCATAATCTCAAAACAAAGCAGAATGGGAAACAATACAAATTACATTTTGATCTTATAAATAATTACATGGTATATAAATTTAAAGTAACAAATATATGCTCTGAGAACTAATTAACACTATATATTCCAATCCCTGAGGATTGAACTGGATATTTTTGAAGAATTACTACTACCACTTCACCCATCCACATCTCAGAATTATGCCTTTATGACATTTCTATTTTCTGAGATAATATTTATTAATACTTTGACAACTTAAACTGCAATTATGAATTTGTTTTCCTGTTTTGTTTTTGCAGGTCTATGTGCCCGAACATTACGCTTTACTATGCCCAGCGGAATAAAAATGTCTCATGTCCTTCACTTGGTTTAGATGAAGGAATTCTAGATCAGATGGCAGTTTATGCAATATATTACTGCAGTAAGTTTATTTGTTTTATTTTGTTGACCAGCTTAACTGAGTGTTAAATTTTTGATACTTTACTTCTTACTGCCTTGGTAGAAAAAAGCATTATATAGTGTATTTGTTGCAAATGTTTGTTATACTGTTTATGTTAGTAAGCTGTGTACTATCCTTTACAGGATATTGCAGAACCAAACCCAGAATTTTCTGGCTGTTTTAATTTTTCAAGGCATATTTTACATTCATTAGTTTGCCATTGCTTACTGAACGGTCAGCTCTCTGTACCAGCGCAAGAAAACCACCCGCAGCTGGGATCAAACCCGGCACCGCAACACTGCAAGGCGCATTCGCAGCACCTAAGCCACAGACGCCATCATAGTTCAAATGTGAATTCTCCAGTCTATCTGGTGCAAACATGCATTCTGTCGTTTGTATGACTTAATATAAAACTGTATATAAAATATAGAACCTTTGTATTATACCATTTATTTTATCTTTGCACTGGAATCTGAAGTATTCTGTTTCCTTTCTGATTGTTACTGTATGTTTGCCTTGGTATGCTTGTAAGAGAGGGAAGGCAGACAGAAAGATATGTCCATATAAAAGTGAAGTTAACTTGGTTTGTTTGTTTGTTTAAGTATCCAGAAGCCATGAGTTGTTAACCCTTTGGCTCGGTATTATGGATATTGCAACCTTTCGGCCTTGATTCCATTGTAAATACCGTAAATCTGGGAAAAATGTGGCTTTTCTGCCTACCCCCGGGAGTGAACCCGGACCACAAAGAGTTCATCACCCGGTCACAGCGCAATCTGGTTTAGCCAACTATGCTAGAGAGCCGGGCGAGTTAACTTGGTACATAAAGAATCTGAATTCTGTCTCTGCAATGTGTGTTTGTGTGTGTGTGGGTGAGATGTGTCTATTTTTATCAGTATTAGTACCATTTTCACATTGAGGGTTGAAACTTCCCAACTTGCAGTCTAAAGCCTTGATAGAACATTCTTCCAGTCTGGATGTGACTTATTCTTTTTGTTCTGTATATTTGTCCCTGATGTGGGGCCTCGTAACTCAAACATGGATAAATCAGATTGTAATTTTCTCAATGAAATTATTTTCCTTTTCCCTTTAGTTATTGGTGCTGGAGTGCTCATAACTGCCTATTTTCAAGTTTCCCTATGGATGATCGCAGCAGAGCGCCAAGCACATCGCATTCGCCAGGAGTTTCTCAAGAATGTTATGAGACAAGACATTGGATGGTTCGATACTCATGAGGCAGCAGAATTAAACACAAGATTGGCTGAGTATGTATTTGTGCGTGTGTGTGTGTACGGGTGCATGTGTGTGCACATGCATGTGTGTGTGCACATGCATGTGTGTGTGCACATGCATGTGTGTGTGTGTGCACATGCTTGTGTGTGTGTGTTTATTTTTTTTTGTACTTGTGAATACATGTATGAGCATATTTACTGGTAACTTCACAATAAACACCTTGTGATACATCATGAAATTATCAGAACTATATTGAATGACTTTTTCACGAAATTTTGATAGTAAATGATATTTTTTATTCAGGACTGAATTATCTTTCCACTTGTTCAGATGAATGAACTTTAGTGCTCATTCATTACTTTTTTTATTCATGAAATTGTGTTGCATATTTACTTAATCTCAAGGCTACTGACTATTCTTCTGTATACATCTTTTTCCCTTAGTCCTATGTTTGCTTTGTTTTGTTTCATTAGTTTAAGCAGTTCTCAATGTTTTTTGCTTAACTCTTTCTGTACCAATCAGTGATGATATGCCAATCTGTAAATATGAACCTGCAAGCCTCTGATATAAATGTATGCTTTTATAATATGTCTGTGTTTTTAAATGGCCAGTTAGCATGCACTAAAAGTGTTCAATCTTGTTTGAAAAAAAAAAAAGCAAGCTATTTTTTAATATCCATTTGGCAAATGAATGATTGCTCTTAACGCCATGAAACATTGTCTTTTTTTCTTAGTGATGTTTCCAAAATTCAGGATGGTATCGGTGACAAAATGGGTTCCTTTGTCCAGTGGCTGTCCTCATTTTGTACTGGATTTATTATTGGGTTTATATATGGATGGAAGTTGACCCTTGTAATTTTGGCTGTCAGTCCCTTCTTAGTTGGTGCCGCAGCCCTGTTCAGCAGAGTGAGTAATTTTTTTTTTCAACTTAGTTTTTTTTTTATCTTTAGAATACCAGTCATGATTAATACCTTTTCTTATGAATTTTTATTTACCTTTAAGTATTTTTCCATATTTATTTTGTCAAAGTTTATTTTATTGTTCATCTCTACATTCAGGCATATTAAATATTTCTTAGTTACCTAATGTCAAATGCAACATATTGTTTCATTCTGGAGCTACGTTTATATGGATAAATGCACTAAGCACAATTGCAAGCAGCAGTTTAGTTCGGTCATGGAGTAAATAACTGCACTGACAATTGTTTCTCGACTCACATGCCATTAAGTAAGGAGAGTGAAGGGTTAATGTAGATGAATTTGTTAAGTGAAATAGGGATCTGAAATGAAGACAGAGAGAGTTAATATTTGGACATTCATATTTGAGTAGCCTATGTGTTACAAGAATATCTATTTGTACATAAAATGTTAATGCAATTTGCCTTTCCAGATTTTATGTTGTTTTCCTAAAATACCACTAGCTATAGCCCATAGCTATAACTTGAGAAATGTACATTTGAACTGAGATTAGAATAATGATTTACGCTGTAAGTAATTATAAAAATTACTACATGTTATCTTCTTTTTTGCCTTCAATGGCTGTAAACTCCAGCAGAAAGTTCTGGATGATTTGTCCACTTCTGGATTTTAGTCTTGTTCCAGAACTTGAGTTTTGCATGCATATTAATTTTACATATCTGGCTTATTTGTGCACATACTGTTGGTTCCTTGCTTCTCAGGCAGATGCACTTTGACTTTCAAGGAAACTCCTAATTAGTCGACTCTTACGACATACTTGCTAGGGAGGCAGTGGGTTAACCCCCCCCCCCCCTTTCCCCCCTCCAACACTTTGAGGCCCCAGGACCCAGACAGGGAGCAGCATCTTCCAATAATTAAATTTAATTCTGTGTTTATCATTTTATGACTAAAAAAACGTGTGCTACCTCCACAAAGGATTCGGCAACTGTGCATCCACATCATACTGTCTTAGGGAGGTTTAGGTGGTGAGGCTACACTCTCAAAGCCACAAGAATATAATCTTTCTTAATGTTTGCTGGATTCTGGTCCTTGAGGATTATGAAGCAAATTCACTAACATCTATGCCATAGAGCCACACAAACTTTAAATCTTAGACATTGTTACTAAATCAAACATTGTAATTCTAGTTAAAAACTACCCACTGTAACATTATTACAAAATGTGACATTTGTTGACCTGTTTGTAGCTGGCTGCCTCAATGACATCTAAGGAATTGGAAGCTTATGCCAAGGCAGGTGCTGTTGCTGAAGAAGTGTTTGGAGCCATTAGGACTGTAGTTGCTTTTGGTGGTCAAGAGAAAGAGGCACTGAGGTACTTTATCCAGTGTGTGTGGTTTTTTTTTTTTTTTTTTTTGGGGGGGGGGGGGGGGGGGGGGGGGGGAGAGGAGGAGGAAGGGGGCAGTGTATTTAGCTACTTCAGTAAAATTTTTTAAATGCCCTCTACACCAATAAAACCAGCACAGTTAGATAGATGTAAACAATTTCTTTCCAATGGTACCTCATTTAGGCTTGTATGTCATTTCTGAGCTGAGATATGTAGGTTTTGTGGAGATGAGATGTAAGAAACAGCCGCTAAAACTTGTGACCCAGAAACAAGAAGTTTTTTACTGCGCAACCTACTGCGCAGTTCTGTATCGGCTTTGTTTACATTGGACTGTCATTGGACAAGATGGCAGGCAATGAGACTCAGCCACTGGCTGAGCCAGCGATTGCCTGAAAAATGTCACTGTACATCTACCTAGCCACCGTCCAGAAAGAAATTTCATACACAAATGTAAAATTGGACGGAGAATTCAAATATACCCAGCAATACCAGGACGAGTAACAGTTAAAGACTAAAGCCAACCTCGAATTTACCGCTATTTTCAATCAAACTGATGACTAACAGAAAAACAGAGGACGTCCGGCTGTCGTAGACATGCGCTGTTAATCGGGTTCCCTCCCGCTGTTTTCAGCTATTTATAGCTGGTCCAAATTCCCACCAATGGCAAAATTTCATGAGAGATTTGGACCCATACGGAAACCAGCCGAGATTTCCCGAACAAGTTCTGAACGGTTTCCGGGTAACGGAAATTGCCGAAAAGACCGCAAATTGTCGAAACTGTAGTCCCTAGTGTATTCAGAAAATCAGAATTACTTATAAATATATTGTAGAGACATTTTATCTCACTCAGCATTGCGTTTGGTAGAAGACTAAGAAACTTATGCTCATTTGTTTCATACTGAAAGAGGTAATAATTGAAGAATGTTTCAGTTTAGATCTTCTTCTTCTCCTCCTCTTCTTCTTCTTCTTCTTCTTCTTCTTCTACTGCTTCTTCTTCTTAAAGTTTACCAGCTGTAAACTCCCGCAGAAAGTTCTGGTTGTTCATTCACTTCTGGACTTTAGTCTTGTTCCAGACTTGAGTTCTGCATGCACATTCATTTAGAGATCTGGCTTACTTGTTATCAGACTGTTGGTTCCTTGCCTCTGAGGCAGATACACTCCAACTTTGGAACACCCTTAATTATTCGACTTTTAGGGGGACAGTTGGTCTTTTTTTTTTCCCCCAAAACGGAGCTCATGCTGTTGTTCATTATGGCAGAAATTCTAGTATTTCTGGTTTATTTAATTTATTATGTCTTCTTGGAATTAATTTGAACTGTCAGTCATTTAATTAAATTATTGCATTGTGTAGAAAATAAAATTTCATAAGTTATTTAAATTCTTGTTTTACATGTTTTGCTTGATTTAGTTTTTATTTTATTCTTTGTTTTTATGAAGTCAGTGAAATATGGTAAGGAGAGTATTCTTAGTTAAGACAAGGTAGTGAGAATAGGAAAGATTATCTTATCTGTTGATTTCAAATACTAGTAAATAGGTAAACTAATGTATATGTTGCTCTGTCATCTCTCTACCCTTACAGAAGTATTTATCATGAATTTTCTTGAAACAAAACAGGTATTCACGTAATCTTGGAGACGCACAAAAATTTGGCATAAAAAAAGGATTCACCAATGGTGCATCCATGGGCTTCATTTGGTTGGTTATCTTTTGCTGCTATGCTCTTGGTTTCTGGTATGGAGGGAAATTGGTACGAGAAGATGAATACACAGTTGGTGAAATGATCATTGTAAGTTCTAGTTTGTTTAAATAAATGTTTTACAAGAAAGAACACCATGGATTTTATAAATTACTTTGTTTAAATGAATGTTTTACAACAAAGAACACTATAGATTCCTAATTTACTATGTTTAAATGAATGTTTTACAACAAAGAACACCATGGATTTTATAAATTACAATGTTTAAATGAATGTTTTACAACACAGGACATTATAGATTCCTAATTTACTATGTTCAAATGAATGTTTCACAACAAAGGACATTATAGATTCTTAATTTACTATGTTCAAATGAATGTTTCACAACAAAGGACATTATAGATTCCTAATTTACTATGTTCAAATGAATGTTTCACAACAAAGGACACCATAGATTCCTAATTGACTATGTTCAAATGAATGTTTCACAACAAAGGACATTATAGATTCCTAATTTACTATGTTCAAATGAATGTTTCACAACAAAGGACATTATAGATTCCTAATTTACTATGTTCAAATGAATGTTTCACAACAAAGGACACCATAGGTTCCTAATTTACTATGTTCAAATGAATGTTTTACAACAAAGGACATTATAGATTCCTAATTTACTATGTTTAAATGAATGTTTCACAACAAAGGACACCATAGATTCCTAATTTACTATGTTCAAATGAATGTTTTACAACAAAGGACACCATAGATTCCTAATTTACTATGTTTAAAAATGAATGTTTCACAGCAAAGGACACCATAGATTCCTAATTTACTATGTTCAAATGAATGTTTCACAACAAAGGACACCATAGATTCCTAATTGACTATGTTCAAATGAATGTTTCACAACAAAGGACATTATAGATTCCTAATTTACTATGTTCAAATGAATGTTTCACAACAAAGGACATTATAGATTCCTAATTTACTATGTTCAAATGAATGTTTCACAACAAAGGACACCATAGGTTCCTAATTTACTATGTTCAAATGAATGTTTTACAACAAAGGACATTATAGATTCCTAATTTACTATGTTTAAATGAATGTTTCACAACAAAGGACACCATAGATTCCTAATTTACTATGTTCAAATGAATGTTTTACAACAAAGGACACCATAGATTCCTAATTTACTATGTTCAAATGAATGTTTCACAACAAAGGACACCATAGATTCCTAATTTACTATGTTCAAATGAATGTTTTACAACAAAGGACATTATAGATTCCTAATTTACTATGTTCAAATGAATGTTTTACAACAAAGGACATTATAGATTCCTAATTTACTATGTTCAAATGAATGTTTCACAACAAAGGACACCATGGATTCCTAATTTACTATGTTCAAATGAATGTTTCACTACAAAGGACACCATAGATTCCTAATTTACTATGTTCAAATGAATGTTTCACAACAAAGGACACCATAGATTCCTAATTTACTATGTTCAAATGAATGTTTTACAACAAAGGACACCATAGATTCCTAATTGACTATGTTCAAATGAATGTTTCACAACAAAGGACAGCATAGATTCCTAATTTACTATGTTTAAATGAATGTTTTACAACAAAGGACACTATAGATTCCTAATTTACTATGTAAAATAAATTGAGGGACTTTTTTCCACGCCTTCAGCATGCTGGACATATAGTGCTATATCCAAATTTTAAAAACCAATCGGCACTCAGTGGTTGTCATGGTCAACATCGCACTGGCTGCTTTTACATCCTGAAACCAATTCAAAGCTGTGTTGACCTAGGAGCCAAGATTTTTATTTTGTTTTTTAATTAAAAGACTGTCTAATAAAATATGGTATTACATTTTTGTTTTTAGTTGTACCATTTTTTCACTGATAGTTGTTGACCTTTTATATGTATACTGCATATGATACTAGACTGATATTTGTATAGACCAGCTGGCACTGAATGGATGATGTGGTTCTCATCATGCTGATCACCTTTATTTCCCAGGTCATTTCCTGATATTTTTGGCTTCCAAAAATATAAAACAGTGACTATTACAATACATGCAACAGTAAAGCATGACAGTAGATGATTTTCAGCAATTTATATATATTTTTTTTTTTTTTTTTCAGGTATTTTTCAGTGTTCTGATAGGAGCCTTTTCATTAGGAAATGCTGCTCCAAATATCCAGTCTCTGGCCACTGCTCGAGGGGCTGCACATATTGTGTATCAGTTGATTGATTTGGTGAGTCGGTGTCTTTGCATGTTTATTTATTTTAATTTAAAAGAAAAATTATAAAAATTGTTTGTATTATGGAAGATAGTTTTAACTTATGTTAATATGCCAAAATGAACAACAGATCAGTCAATGAATCAGCTGATATCTTAGTAATGATCTCGAACAAACTCTGGATGTACACTGTCTTAGACTACTGTTGTCCATTTCCTGATTTTATCTTCTCATTTGTATTGTTGTCTGTCTCTTGCTCACTTGCCTTCAACTGTCCCTGTCACTGTTTTACGAGTTAGTTAGTTAGTTAGTTAGTTAGTTAGTTAGTTAGGTTATCATCATTGCACTCCGGACATTTCCATAGGTGCTCAGATCCTCCCCTCAGTATGAACCCCAACGTCCGATGGCTAATAGTACCAGTTCTATGTTGATTAACAAGTCTTCTGACGTGTCCGATGTGCGTCTCGTTTTTTGCTGTGCCGATCTTAATTCCTAAGTCTGCCATTCTGGCGAGTGATGTGGATTCACTGCCACCAAAGTCCTCTATCCTTCCCATTTCTCTGAGGGCATTGATAATATCAGCATGATCCATAGGCCGACCGTCGGTAGTGATAGCGGATCCAGCCAACCTGTCAGCTCTTTCATTTCCATCGACGCCTGCGTGTCCCGGAACAAAAATAAAGGTGACTCCTCGCACAGTGGACTTCTGAATTGATTCAAGCCATTGTCTTCGCACTGAACCTGCCTGAACCCTCCGGATCATACTCATTGAATCACTGAGTATACATATGCGGGTGTATTTTTGTGTTTCAAGCCAGGCAAACGCTTGCGTCACTGCCATCACCTCCATCGTCATGCTGCTGGTTGTCATGGAGAAAGCGCCGTTGGCTTCTTTGACTGTTCTGCCCGCTGAGCGTACTGTAAATGCCCATGCGCTTCTTCTTTGGTGTATAACGGATCCGTCTGTATAGATTAGTGCATCTGCTTCGTCTGAATTTTCACCGATGAGAGCGTTGACCTCTGCATTAACAGCAACAGGATTCTCTTCTCTACATCCCCTGTTGAGTGTGACAATACAGGAAAATGTACAAATAAACGTCTGAGGCACAGGTATCCATTCTGCACCAGGTATAATGTCGGTTAGGCTGCATATTTGGCTAATAACATCTTCTGCCCGACCTAGCCACGATTTTCCCCTCTTCAGTCTGTCGCCCTTTTCACTAAAAAGCGCTTGATGCAGTGGGTGTTTCTTATCAGCACATATTTTGAGGTATGCCCGAGCCCTCCACACCCTGATCCTTTGGTTCATTGTTGGAAAGTCAAGTAGATACTTCATTGCTTCACAGGATGTGTCTCTTGTACATCCCAAAATAATACGCATGGCTTCATTTTGCACCTTTTCGAGTCGTTCAATCTGGGTAGCACTGACAGTGAGGATGGCCAGAGCGTATTCAATGGGGGAAAGGACTAGACCGTAGAATAGAAGTACTAGTAGTCTTTGCTCGATATTGGAAGCAGCCATAATCCTCATTGCAGATAGACCTTTGCGTGCTTTTGTTATCACATGGTCAACGTGTTCCCTGAATGACAAGCTGCGATCGAACCTCACCCCGAGAAACGTCATAACGTTGGTTCTGATCAATACATTATCATTTTCACTTCTGGTAAGTCCGACTTGACAATGTGATTGTTCAAAGAGAACCATGACACTGATGCCTTCGAGGGATTGACATAGGCATTGGAACCATCACACCAGGCGGCAATTCGATCGAGTTCTTTGTGCATTGTGCTGGCGATCTCCTGTCTATCACGCCCTCGTCGATAAATCAAAATGTCATCAGCAAATGACAAAGTCCTTCCCTTTCCATTCAACTGCTGCTCAGTGATCATCACCGTATAAACGTTGAATAAGACTGGTGATAGCGGTGATCCCTGTGGCAAGCCTGGACATTTCGTTTGCGGTTCTGAGGACCAGCTACCACATCTTAGTACAATCTTTCTCTGGAACAGGACCGCAGCAATCCAGCGGATCAGAATAGGATTGACTTCTAGTTTAAGCAGTAATTGCATTAAATAATCAAATGGTACTTTATTGTAGGCATCTTCTAAGTGCAACACTGCCGCACATGTCTCTTCTTTAATCTGAAATCCCTCGTACACATCGTAGGCGAAAACAGCAGCATTGAACCATGTCTCTTTCTTCAATCTGTACCCTCCAAGTGTTGATGGGAACTTATCATGTAGTTCCAAGTAGGTGGTCAATCTTTGTGCGACAATTTTTTCCAAAAGTTTGCCAACAGTATTCTGCATCGAGATGATTCTGTAGCCGCAGATCTTTGAGTGGTCTTTATTAGGCTTTGGTAGTGGGAACAAATAACTATGGAGCCATTCCTCTTGTATCTGGCCACTCTGGATGCTGATATTGAATTCCTTTGCCACGCTTTTCAAATCAGCATTCGACATCATCAGCATGTCATTGTATCGGATGCCGTCAGGGCCTGGAGCAGTGCTGCGCGATTTCTTGAGGCAAGTTCTTAAGGTGTCTGCAGTGATTGTGAAATCAATGCCTAGCTCAGTGTTCTCGCACAGCATCGACAGTTTCATCTTAATGTTTTACGAGTGTTGTCTTTTAATGTGGATAAAATATTTCACTTGTCTCCTTTTTATTTCCTTCTGCACCTGTTTTAATTCCTAGTCTAAAATAACAGATAAATGTGTCCCAGTTATAACCTAGAAAAGTCGAACTGGTTAATACTGGTATACATATAGTGTAATTAGTAAGTTTAAATATTTCTAAGCTTGCTCGTTTCATCATGAGTATTGGGAGAATAATTATGTGTCATTATTTTGAATGGCAGTATATTGCAAGTATATACGCAACTGTGATATGACAAATAATGAATTGTTTATCATTTCTGCTATTATAATAAGATACAAACTTATCACAAACAGATTTTTCCTGCTTGTATTCCAACAAAAATCAAACAAAACTTGTGCATTTTCATTGAACTTAACAGTGAAATTATGCTGTATGTATCTGTGGACGTACAGTTTTTGCATGTGTACACACACACACACATGCAAACACCCAAGCACACACCTAATACACATACTAAAGAAGCAAGTTGTTTATTCTTATGGATTTAATGTTTTTTTCATTTTAGAAATCAGCCATTGACAGCAGCTCTAAAGAAGGCACACAACCTTCATCTGTGACAGGCACAATACAGTTTAGGAATATACACTTCAGTTACCCATCTAGACCAGACGTAAAGGTAGGTTTGTACATCTTGACTTTTTATTCTGAATAACAGCAAGAAAGGAAATATGATTTATTTTCCTTTTTTTTTTTTTAATACAAAACAGTATAGATTTTAGTAAAACTTTACATTTATAACCCCTATAAATACATATACACTGTCCTCATTTACTTGATGGGTCCAAATATGTGGCTATGTATAATTAGCACATTTAACATGCAATCTCACAGCAGTATTTTCAAAAAGCTTCATCCTTAGCATGATAAATTGTTACAGGTTTTGTAAGGATAACAATGATGAGAGTTACTGAACTTTGCATTATTAACAATAAGCAAATGCATTATTATTTATGACATTTTTGTGTGAAATATCCTTTATGTCTGCCATTTCAGGTTTTGAATGGCATGTCACTTGAAGCACTACCGGGTCAAACAGTTGCACTAGTGGGCTCTAGTGGCTGTGGAAAAAGCACAACAGTTTCTCTTTTGCTGAGGTTTTATGATCCTTCACAAGGCCAGGTTTGTTTGAATGTATTTACAAACGTGCAGTGGTTTTGTTAAATGCGGGTTCCATATTGAAACACCAATTAATTTGTTTAAACAGATTTGAGGTATTTTTTATTTTAACATTGTGTGTTAAACCCAATTTATAGGAAACACCCAAGATTAGGGACAAAGTATTGTTGCTATGTATAAATAATATAAGGCAACCTAATAAAAAAAAATTTGTGAAGTAATTTAAAAAAAATATAAAAAAAGCATATTTAATATTATGATAATAGAACAGAGAGTAGCCACAATGTATAATTTTAAAAGTGATCGGTGTACAAACGATACTTATCATAGACATCAAAAAGATTCAGTAAGCATTTTTCTATAATGTTATTGGTAGCAAAACAACTGAAATTTATGCAACTGTAAGGAACTTTTTTTTTTTTTACAAAAAAACGGGGAAGGGGGGGGGGGGATAAGAAAGAAAGAAAACATGAGCTGAAAATGCTAGTACATGAATTAATAATTATTAAACAAGAGAGCAAATTATAATCAGTGATAGTTCATCTAACACATGGTAATGATTATATCTTCATTAATTATTTTCTAAGGTCAATCTAATCTAACAGTCTGCATAGTTTTGCCAAATTAATTTTTCAGTTTTTTTAAGATGTGTCCCCTTGAATAAAAGAGTGAGATGCACCTATGTGTTTTGGATCTAAAAAAAGCATTTGACAAGGTACCCTAGAACAAGCTCTGGGACTGCTTGACAGGGAAAAACATCCTAGCACCCCTATCCCTGATCAGTTCAATACAGTTTCTACAAAAGCTGTAGCAATTATGTAAGAACGGCAGACCAGAAGTCATAAGAATTTAAGACCACTAGTGGTGTTAGACAAACTGATATTCTCTCACCTTACCTCTTCATTCTTATGATGGATGATGTCATCAAGACCTGTAAGGAGATGACAAAGAAGTACTGTGTAAGGTACTGGAAGATGAGACCAATCTGTATATCAGAGCTGGCATCTGCAGATGATATGTGGCCCTGATAGCTAAATCAGAGGCACACCTTCAGACCAACTTACTTATCTGGAAGGAAGAGCTTGAGAAGAGAGGGATGACCATCAGTATCCCCAAAACTAAAACCATGGTGATCTCAGGAGAGGAGAAGAAACACCAGATCATGGTGGGACAGTATGCATTGGAGCAGGTCAACCAGTTCAAATACCTTGGAGTTGTACTAGACCGAAATGGAGGCATTCAGACTGAGCTGGCTACATGAAAAGCAGCTGCTGGGAGACTCTTTCAGGACATAAACTTATGGCTTCTTAGCAAAAGAGGACAAAAATGGCTGTTTACCACTCTATCTATGTACCAGTCCTGACCTATGGGTGTGAGTCATGAGCAATGAAAACAGTTCACAGAAGCCAGCTTCAGACTTCAGAAATGAGATATCTGAGAAAGGTGGTCCAAGTGACAAGAAGGGACAAAGTCCCAATCATACAATACTTAAAGACCTTGATACCCAGTCCTTACAAACCCAAGTGGGTCAGTCACAGTTTCGATGGTTTGGACCTGTATGCAGAATGGGATAAAATCGTCCACCATGGCAGGCATGGGATGCTAAGAACCAGACCTCCAGGGTGCACTGGGAAGACAACATCTGACAGTCTCTAACTGACCGAGGACTGGAATGGAACAAAGCCAGAAAGAAAACTGTTGATAGAGACGTCTGGCGATCTCTCTGGCAAACCTCTACACCCAAGGTAGAAGAGGGGCAAATAAGTAAGTTAGTTAAGATTTTTATAAACTTGTGAATAGTTCTTTTGTCATAGGAGGAGAGAATGATGTCCATTTTATCACAATACTGGGTAGGATGCATTACTAGTTTTATATACAAGAATAATAAAATGGGCACCCATCTTACTGTGAGTTAGGAATGGCAAAGGCAGAAAAAGAGTGTGCTACTTCTTTTTGTTTTTAAACTTGAACTGACTGTCATGATAGCATTGTAAAGCCATGTTTCCTAGCATCATAACGTGTTGATACTTCATTATTGTGAATGCAAAGTTTATTGTTTCTATTGCTCTTTAATAGGTACTCTTGGATGGAAATGATGTGAAAGACCTTAATATTAAATGGCTGCGTGAGCACATTGGATTAGTGAGTCAGGAGCCCATACTGTTTGCAACCACTATTGCTGAAAACATAAGATATGGTCGAGAAGGAGTAACCATGGATGAAATTGTTCAGGCAACTAAAAATGCTAATGCTTATGACTTCATCATGAAATTACCAGCAGTAAGTAATGTGAAGAGCTTTTAAAAGTATTTCAATTTTGAATGTTTGTTAATAGGAGCGTAAGGAGCCATCTGCGGTTCTGTAGCTTAGATTAGTCAATGCATGTAAATATTTCATGATTCTTAAGTACTAGTGTTTATTTTAAATGATAGACAGCAAACATATATTCTTAAGGTTTTGAGATAAAAGTATGAGAGTTGCACTATGGAAGAGAATGATCCCCAGAATATAATAGGCAGTACCGGTGAATTATTTTATAGATCGTAAAAGAGTAGAATGATTTGGTCTTACTGGAACAAAATGAGCTAGCAGCTAGACCTTACTATGTGAGAATAGTAGGCTACACGGCAAGAGGCCAACCAAGACATAGATGGATGGAGGAAGTAAAGAGATACCATTGAAATGCAATATCACGTTAACACTAGCTGTGCAAATATCAAGAAACAGAAGACTACATCTAACTCCTCTCTGTGACACTTTATGGCATAAGTAGCAGAACAAATGAAGAATGAGAAAATATTCTTAAAAAACGATAATGGTTGCACTGTAGCCCACATCATTGTGTGGGTGGCATATATTTTTAGGAGCCGTAGTTGTTGAAATACTTACATGCTAAGACAATGGTACAAGTTCAGTCTCCAGAAATGGTTTCCAAATTGATCCACTATGAGACTGCTGTTCCCTTCTAATAGTAAATGTGCAATCCGCAATTGTATATTATTTTTAGCATGAATGTTAATTTTATCGAGGAACAAAAAATGTTATGTAAAATGTTTCATTTCATTTTTGTAATGTTTCATCCAGAAATTTGAAACAATGGTTGGGGAAAGAGGTGCCCAGCTTAGCGGTGGACAGAAACAAAGAATTGCCATTGCTAGAGCCCTGGTCAGAGATCCCAAGATTCTGCTTCTGGATGAGGCTACCTCTGCTTTGGACACTGAGAGTGAATCTATTGTGCAAGATGCCTTGGACAAAGTACGTATGCTACTTGTTTGTTTTGTTCCCACCCCTACCCCATTTATCTTTTTCACTCTTACTGATATTCATTCTCCGCGTGTTTGTTCCTGGACTCATTGTGGGAAAAACAAGAATAGACCCACAACCTCCCCAACAAGCATGACGTACAAGTCAACAAATTGGGGACATCCTTCGCAGTCAGAATGCATCTGCCCAAGGGGCAAGGAACAACCAGCTGCACACAATTAAGCTAATAAAATGGATATACACACAAAACTCAGACCCTGGCACAAAGCCACAGTCCAAATGGTCGAACAACCAGGACTTATCTGCCTTAGCTTACAGCCGGTGAACAAAGAGGAAGAAGAATAAGAAGACTGAAACTCACATGTGCTTTAGTCTTTAATCAGAGATTTTCCAATTTTCTATGCTGGCGACAGGCTTTGTAGACAGTTTTGTGACACAGTAATTCAATCTACTAGCAAATATGGTTGGACTAACCCCTAATAAGAGATAGGGATATACCTTCACACTGCAGCCAACACAATAATGTGTAAGGGCACAGATTATGAAGCCCACCTCTAAATTTTACTTGCTTGATATACATTACCTTTCACTAACAGAAGAGATTGTCAGCGTTTTGTTAAATATTGGTAATTTGCTTTACTGTCTTTATTATCATACATGTTTTTTTTTTTTTTTTAATATAAAGTTCAGTAAAGGACCCTTTTAAGGCCAGTGTCACATTGGGCATATGGTGCTAAACTCATATTCTTATGGCCAATCAGCCCGCATTGAATGATGTGGTCTGCTTTACACTGGCCACCTTTACTTCCTCGGATATTACCATTTGGTAACACAGTCTTATCATTCCTGTTTATCACCTACATTGACAGCATAAGTAAGGATTCCAGGCCCAGGAATGAAAAAAATAGTAACATCAACGAATTACTCTTTGCTGATGACCAGGCCTTGATAGCAGATACAGCCATGAATTTGCAACATCATCCCACATTCATGAATAAAGAATGTAGTAAATCAGATAATATGAGAATCAGCATAGAAAAGACAGAAGTAATGTCAGTAGGAAGAAAGAAGCAGAATTTAGAAATAGCTTTAGAGTATACATATATTAAGCAGACATATGAGTTTAAATATCTTGGAACATTTTACTGAAGATGGTAAATTTGATGAAGAAATTGGCATCTGATGCAGTAAAGCATACCAAGTGTTAGGAAAGCTAGCTCCCATCTTACAGCTTGAGGCAATCCCAATCAGCAACCAAAAAACATCTCATGCAAAGCATATTTATTCTCACCCTATTCATCAGTGTCAGATGTGGTTGCTTAAAACAAAATATAAAAGAAAATTAGTAACCATGGAAATAAGGTATCTGAAAAAGACTGGATTGACTAAAAGAGATTGAAATCAAGAAGATAAAGTCATAACACAACCAATTCTAAATTACATACAAAGACAGAAAATCAAATGCTTTGGTCACTTGGAGAAAATGTAGTTTTGAAATGCAAGCACGTGAATATGACTACCATAATAGTTCAGCACAATTTTCTTACCAACGATATGCTATCAATGTCAAACATGGACACTGTCTTAGGAAGACAAAGAAAATAGTCACAACATAAACAACATGTTTACTTACTATGTTATGCTTAGGAAAGATGATTTCAGGCAGAGAGTCGGCACAGAATCAATACCAAACTTTATCGGTATACAACAGATCAAGTGGTTTGACCATGTAACAGGACTGGCAACAGACAGAAGACCAAAGAAGGCAGTGTTATACAAATGCAACTTTAACAGTGCGAGAGGACAGCCACACAGAACATTGACCGCATAAATAGCAGACACCCTGAAAAGTTAGTTAGTTAGTTAGTTAGTCTTTCCTCTTGTGTCGAGTGCGGCACATAGGGCAGAGGTCATGACTCTCCATGCATGGCGGTTCGTTGCAATCCGTTGTAGGTCTTGGATGTTTGAGTGGCCCATGAGCGAGCCTTCCCTGATGATAGTTCTACGTACCCTGAAAAGTACCAGATACAAATTGAATAGAAGGGCCTGTTACAGATATTCACCCCCCAATGCTGCAAGGCATTCCAGGAGTAGAGAAAAGAAGTTTAAATGTAAAAACTGTGTTAAATTTGTTTACAGGGTACAGTTGGTGCAGATGTAATCCTCTGATATTTATATTTTGTTACAGGCTCGAAAAGGAAGAACCACTCTTGTGATTGCTCACCGTCTGTCAACCATTAAAACTGCAGACATCATTGTTGGTTTTGACAAAGGGGTGATTGTAGAGAAAGGCACCCATGATGAACTCATGTTGACAAAAGGGACCTACTACCAGCTAGTGACAAGTCAGGTCTGGTAAATTTTAATATACTTTTCTAAGTCTACTGAACCTTCTCTATTATTATTATTATTAGCCTCCTTATTCTTTTCTGACAAGAAGAGACCATAAAAGAAATGAAGATATCATAAGAATGGTGAGAACAACACCAGTAATTAGATTTATTAAAAAATGGAGTTGACAATGTGCTGAAACAATATCACTGTGCAGCAAGCTAATAAGCGCACACTATCCCAGAGACCAACCATTGGCCGTGCCTGTGATGCCTAACAGCATTAAGCAGAGAAATACGGTAGATAGACAGATAAATCAATTCATAGTCAGAAGATTAATTCAGCATGTGATTTTTATATTACTTATGTTAAAGTGCTTTTGTTATTTACTTAAGTGTTTTCTCTTGTTCCTAAATCTCTCTATGGTTATAAAACTTTTAAAGTCAGTGGTAACCAGGGGATCTGGCAGACACTCAACACTCAGAGGAAGGGCAAGATGGTTATACAATCAGACAGTTACTGAGGCCATTGTAATTGGAACTCTTCACTTGTTGCAGAAGATGGTGTCGGAGCGCTAGTGGGAGTGTTCCAAGTGCTGTGATGTTGATCTTTAATTCAACATTCAGTCATTGGTATAGTTTAGTGGGTGATTTTACTTTTACTTTAGCAAGACTGCTTTTATTATTTATTTAAAAGCATTTTATTTTATTTTTAAATCTATCCACAGTCTCAAATTAAATCAGAAGAAGGTAAGTGAAAGAAAAATATTTGAAGTCATTGTAGCAGTTACTTTGTCACCATTTATTTAGAAAAGTTCTGTTTAAAAAAAATCTGTAAATAATTGTGTGTGTTATATTTCATCTAAATTCATTTATTTAATTAAGACAGGTCATATTTTAATAATAATTGCTACTATGCAAATGAAACAGTAATAAGGTGCTTTCCCCAAAATGCCAGGAGGAGTCCTGAAGCATTATGTTGAATCTCTTCTGCTATGTAGTAGTATCTAAATGTAAAGTAAAGGACCCTTTCCACATCTTCAGGCAGACTAGGCATATGAAGCTGGACCTAAATTTTATCGATCTGTCCGCACTCCAAGGGTTCTGAGGTCAGCATCACACCAGCCACCTTTACTTCCTTGAAGTTTACCTGGTACCCATATAAGGCTGGGTTGACTTGGGAGCCAAGGTCATTTTTTAAAAAAGTCCACCTTTGTTCGTAATCGAACACATGAGTGAGATCCATAGGCAAGGTCCAGGTGCTATGTCATAAGGAATTTTTAAATGTAAATGAACAAATTATCAAAAGACTGAGCAGGCAGAGATGGTGTTTCTGAGAATGAATTAGATGTTTTCTTTTGGCAGCTTATGTAATTAATGGTGACTAACTGTTTTTTTTTTTGTTTTTTTTTAAGCAAAAGAAAGTAGAACATTAGTTGTAACTTTAATAAAGATCAATTGTCATGTAATGAAAGGAGAGTCATTGAAGAATATTGTGCTAATAGGAATAATCAGCATTAGAAGAGTTGGACTGAGAGATATGGTCTAAGATGATGGTTTGGTTGAATATCATTAATCAGACTAATCTGGAACACCAAGGGTTGGGATCTATAGAGTGACATCAACATTTACACCAGGCACATGATGGTGATGATATGAAACAGATGGATAATTCAGTAATGTAGAAAGTAAAAAATGTAGTTTTGTAATTTTGGAATGCCAAGTTTGTGTCACAAGTTTTCAGGTGGTTTAGAAAATGTTATGAAATGTTTATATATCTCTATACATGCAGTCAAAGTAGTGGTTGTCCCCATGTTTTCATTATTTGAAGCCTCACCCTGACTTGTGCCGGGGGCCCTGAATATAGCCGGGCTATGAATGTGGCCATAACGGCTGAAAAGTGTTTCTGGGACCTCTCCACAGGTAATCCTTATCGGCATGGTGGCACCTTGTGTCACCGGGTGTTTATCGCTTGTGTGATGTCCTGGTGGGGTACAACAAGCAAGTAAGCATCTATACATGCAATTTATCACTCACTGTCTTACAAATATGTTTCGCTTCTTCTAAGTTCACCTAAAAGGGTGGATGGCATGTTATATTGTTGTTTACAGCTAGGCTTTAAAGAGCTGCATCTTTTGGCCCAAGACATTAGATTCCAGCGTTTAACGTTTGAGTATGAATCAACATCACAGAACTCTAGACATTCCCATAAGCGCTCTGTCCTATCTTCAACAGTAAACACAGTTCCAATTCCGATGGTACTAGTAACTGTCTGTAGACTGTATATACATCTCACCTTCCCCCTAAGTGCTGATTGTTGGCGATATCCCCTTGTAACTCTTTGCAGCATGATTCGACTCAGACTGTGATGATCCATCTGTGCATCTGCACTGTTCACTCACCCTCAAAAGGCCCTTACAGCATCTAGCTTGTCCTTCATTAATTCACCACCAGGTTGTGCAGAACCAACTAGTCTATCTGCCTGGTCATTTCCCAGTACACTGTTTTTATTTATGCCACATGTGTTAAGGGGCAGTGGGTCTATCTTTTTCCCCCCTTTTAAACTAGTTATTATGTAAATTTGTTAAAATACTTCCCAATTGGCTTATGGTATTTAAAATAATTTCTCAAAACAGAAGAGGGGATTGAAGAATTCATACAACTAAGTCCAGAAAAGAAGGGGCTTCAGCGTGGACTGTCACGAGAAATGAAAAGGCAGTTATCTATTTCTGAGGAAAAGGAACAGGAAGAGGTAAGAATGTCATTGATGACTGTCTGTTTGGTGTATTAATTTTCATTTAACCCACTGACTACCAAGCATGCTAACCCTTGCACCTTCCCAGATACCATGTTTTTAAGTATCTACTAAAGATTTTATAGCTTCACAACTATTTGACATAAACTCATAATAGTTTGTATTTTTGCACCAAACTGAATGAAGAACAAATTTTGAGAATAAAAACTGTATAATCTTGTTCAAAATCATCATCATCATGTGGCCATACATTGGTGCAAAAAAGACAACCGAAAAATCTTTTTCTCTGATTAGCAGTATAGACTAACAAAAATGCCACAGCCTCACAGCTATTTAAAATAAACTCATATTTTGCATTTTTTGCACCAACTTAAATAAAGAAGTATCTCCAAGAATTTAAAAAAATTGTGTAGTCTTGGTGTACATCATCATAATGTGCTGTAGATTTGTGAAAAAAAATAAAAAGGTCATCATATTGTTTTATGTAACAGCAAAATAGACTTTTAAAAAATGCTATATTCACAACTATTTAATAAAAACTAATATTTTTTTTTTTTTATACAAATTAAATAGGGAACAAATATCAAGAATAACAAAAGTTGTGAAATCTTGTCTTACATTCTCATGTGGTTGTACACTGGCGCAAAAAAGGCAACTGAAAATCTTCTGACATGAACATGTTTTGTTTTTTCCCGAAATAATCCTGGACGAGAGCTTTGCCTAACTAACTGTGAAATAAAATTCTACAAATTCAGTATTTGTTTGCCATTTTGCACCAAGAATCTGTTACAGCATGACTTAACTGTCAAACCAGAATAAGCCTGTTTAACTGCCTACTTTACTCATATATATGCTGAATTGACAGGCATGCATCATTATACGTGACCTTCGTTTATCAATAAATTTCAATCCTTCACTGATGAATAAAAATGGATAACAGCATTGCTCCTCTTTGGTGCATGTAAAAAGTGGGGTTGCCATATTTAAACTCATCATGATGTCCATGTATTTACGTGCACCATGACGTCCCATGCTTGACATCCTCAACATCCTTAATGGCATAGTCACTGTTATCTTGATCACTTTTTTGAAGGTTTTCATTTGGAGCCCTCATGTCTGCACTTTTTTTCTTCAATTTTTTATGTTTGTTTGTTTGCAAATGTATGTTTGGATATATGTGAGCATGTATGTGCATGTTTAGATGTATATATGGGTACATCTATGTGTATATACTTGTGTTTATGTGTGCGCACACACACACAGATATCTATGGATAGACGGGGGTTGTTTTTGTTGTTGTTGTACGCAGTGGTGTACAGTACTAGTACCCTTTTAGGCATAATTCTTCTTTCTGCACCACTGTAGTAGATGCTTTTTAGTTGAGTATTGGCACATTATTAAACACTTTAGGGTGAGTACTAGCACATTTTTGCTCAAATAAAAGAAATTATACAGAACTTATAATACTTACATAGATAATGATTGTCTTCATTTACTTGTACCCTGATATTAGGAATTAAAGCTGCCAAATATAATAAGTACATAGATACTGATTGTCTTCATTTACTTGTACCCTGATATTAGGAATTGAAGCTGCCAAATATACGTTTATAGATACTGATTGTCTTCATTTACTTGTACCCTGATATTAGGAATTGAAGCTGCCAAATATAATAAGTACATAGATACTGATTGTCTTCATTTACTTGTACCCTGATATTAGGAATTGAAGCTGCCAAATATAATAAGTACATAGATACTGATTGTCTTCATTTACTTGTACCCTGATATTAGGAATTGAAGCTGCCAAATATAATATGTTTATAGATACTGATTGTCTTCATTTATTTTTATCCTAACATTAGGAATTGAAGCTGCCAAATATTATACGTATATAGATACTGATTGTCTTCATTTGTTTTTATCCTGACATTAGGAATTGAAGCTGCCAAATATTATACGTATATAGATACTGATTGTCTTCATTTATTTTTATCCTGACATTAGGAATTGAAGCTGCCGAATGCACCATTTACTCGCTTGATGAGGCTAAATGCACCTGAGTGGTATTTCATTATTCTGGGTTGCTTTGGTGCCATCATCAACGGTGGAGTACAGCCTGCATTTGCTGTCATCTTCAGTGAAATTCTCGGCGTAAGTTTCCAGATATTGTTTTTAATCAGTGTGTTTATTTTAAGTGAGAACAAAATAAAGGGTAACATTTTAGAGTTGCAGTACTATAATTTGCAAGCTTTTCAAAAAAAAAGTATTTTTCACTTGTGAATTTTTTTTTTTTTAACCTTTGCTCATTCTTGCATCTCCTTCCTTCTTTATTCACCCTTCCAAGGGCTTTGACGCGGTGTTGTCTGGTTTACAGCTAGACTGTGATATCTGTGCCTTTTGACCCAAAACATCCAATTTCAGCAAATCCTTAAGGAATATGCTTGTTAGGGAGCAGTTGGTCTGTTCTCTCCTCCCTCCCCAAATGGGCCCCAGAAACTACATAACAATTCTTGTATCTGTTATGTTCTTTCTTTCTCTTATCATTACGGTCTGAGGAGAATGGCGCTGCAAGTAGTTACCAGGGGGATCTGGCCGACACTCAACACTCAGGGTAAGGATGAGACAGATATACAATCAGACAATCTCCGGTACCATCGGAATTGGAACTCTTCCCTTGCTGCTAAAGATGGGGGACTGAGCACTTATGGGAGTGTCCCGAGTGCTGTGATGTTGATTCTTAATTCAAAATTTAACATTCTTTCTCTCATTCTTGCTTGCTCAATCCCTTCCTCTTATTTAGAAATGCAAGTATAACAGGAGCACATTGTAGCATTTGTGATCGTTTAGTTGTTGTTGATGTTTATTAATCATCGTCAACAGCTTTGCCGACTGGCGTAGGCGATCATGCCTCTTTGCAATTTGCCATCACCACTGCATGTATCAGTTTGTGTGTTGACCCCCTGCTGTGACAAAAGGCTGTCAAGAATCATCTCACATTATCTTCCTCTGTCTCTTTTTCTACAGATTGTTGTTCCAGTTTCCTTCTTCTCATAACTTGACCAAAAATTATGTCTGTCTCTTTCTGATGTTTGTGATAAGTTGTCTTCAAGCCCTCGCCTCTTTCAGAACAAGGAATTGTAAAATGTTTATTATGTAACCTTTTAAATATGTATGAATGAAATTAGATTTTAAAAGCGTAGGGTCAGAAGGGCAGAATGTTAGACTTACCTGCGTGCCCAGTTTGTAATCATATGTTTATTCTGTCTGTCTCTCTCTCTTTCTGTCTCTGTCTCTGTCTCTCTCTCTCTCTCTCTCTCTCTTTCTGTCACTCTCCTTCTGTCTGCTGTCTTGTGTATTACATTAGAAGCAAAACAGTGTTAATTTCAACATTTTCACAATATTATCTACCCAGGTATTTGCTGAAAGCAAAGATCAACAGGAAAAAATGATAACGATTTACAGCTTGATATTTGTTGGCCTTGGTGTTGTCAGTCTGGTGACCATGTTCTTGCAGGTATTTACTTCATTTATACATTTTACAGATTTCTTATGATATGTAATCAGTCTTCTTCTTATTCTTCTTCATGTTCCCCGGCTGTAAATTCAGGTGAAAATTCCTGGTTATTCGTCCACATCTGGAGTCTGGACTTTAGTATTGTTCGAGGACTAGACTGTTTTGTGCACTTACATTTTACTTAATTGGCATATTTATGTGCAGACTGTTGGTTCCTTGCCTTTCAGGCTGAAAAATATGTTGATCCCATCTACATTGGCCAGGCTCCCAAATTGGAACCTTTTTGTAGGATTACTGCAGAGAGCTGTAGATTAGTTTTCAGCAGTATGAGTCCTGGTCTGTCACCACACATGATTTAACACTTCTTCTTCCATGTAAGAAGTCTGATTCCTAGATAACTAGTGAACAAACAAAAAGAATATCTCCTTGCTGATCTGATTCTTCAAATGAATGCTGAAAATGCCTTGAATAGCCCAAAGTAATCTAAATGTTTTGAGAGCAGCAAGAAGACAATTAAAAGGAAACATAGAACGAGTCAGACATTATTTTTCCCCCAACCCGCCCATCTCCAGAATGAGAAGGGAAAAAAATGGTACATGACAACTGGAAAGAATAATCAAAAGAAATGAAAGATTCGGACAGCTTTTAGTCAGAATCATCATATGAATTGGTACATGTTATCAGAAATCACAAGATGTGGAGAATTATATTTTCCCATGCCAAATGGCAAGGCCCTTGATAATGAAGTAGTAACTGGCAAATCTGTTTTAGAACAGGGTAAATGTTGTCCCATAGCAGACAGTGCTATCAGACTGGGAAATATTTGGCCTCCACTCAGGGGGTGGCTTAAACTTGATTAGGCCCTGAGCTGTGTCAAGCCCCGAGACCCCTACCATTTGAAATTACACCAGCTGAATGCACTTTGACTTTGAAGGAAACAAACCTAATTAGTGGGTTTGTTCTTTCTAAAATGAAGCCATGAAATCCACACATGGAAACTGGAGTTTAATTGTAATGGATCTCCGGAGCCCTTTTAATTTGAGTTTACAGCTAGGATGTGTTGCTGCACCTTTTGGCCGAACACATCCAATTTCAGTGAATTGCTAATTAGCTGCTTTTTACAACACGCTCATTAGGGCACAGTGTGTGTGTTTTTTTTCTCCTGCCAAAATAGGCCCCAGAATCCACTTAGGGATAAGCATATTTCAAGCTCTTAAGTTTTACCCTCACCTTGTTTACTTGTTGTCTTTTGCTTTACATTATACAATCATGTAGAGTAAATGTAACAGTAGCATTATTTATCTCTACACCACCCCACATATTAATTATTGAATCTTTGTCCTATTATAACCAATGGGGCTCACAGTCTATACCTCCATCCCATTCTGTCCTGTGCACTGACTTTGATATCATGTATGGAATCCTGTCCAGCACCTCTGGCATCTCTCTTCAGTGTTAGCCTTAAAGTTTCTCTTGGATTTCCTTGTCTCCTCAATTTTTCCGCTGCCCATTTCAGTGCCTGTTTAGTGATTGGGTGTGGTTATTGTCATGATGTGTCCAGTATAGTGCATCATAGTAAATACAATTTATTAGCTTTATGTGTACAATACAGTACCATAAACAATTGCCAATGACTAACCTGAAATAAGAGTAAAAAGATATGTTTTTTGGGGGGGGGGAGGGGGGGGGGTACAATTTTTTTTTAAAGGTGCATAATTAGAATTTTAATTTACTGGATATACTTGATTACAAATGAGGTAATAGAAAAAAAGAAAAATAATATTTGTATATTAATGAATCAAGTATAGTGGAGAGATTGTGGGCATGCCATGTCTGGTAAATCTTATCAGAGATTGGTGTTAAAACTTATGGCAATTATTTTCTGTGTGTGTAAATTGTTTTGTTTTGTGAAATTGTCTACAGGCCATGTACATCAGTTGTATATAATATAAGATGAATAGTAATACTGTTGTTGATGACCCTGTTGAAAATTATTTTTGGTAACTTGCATTACTACATTGTTTCCGATGTTAGGGCTATATGTTTGGTCGATCAGGCGAAGCTCTCACTTCCAGACTCAGAGATATGACATTCAGGTCGATGCTGAGACAGGTAAGATTTTAAATCCAATTCCTCCTTTAGTAATTTTTTTTTAAATGTGTTTAGAAAAATCAAACTGTTTAAACTTCTAAGAAAAAAATTAATTGAGAATTTTAAATCATTTTTTCTTTTTGTACGTTGCTCTGAACAGTATAATTATGTAGAAAACTGGAAATATGGCAGTAATTTCCAAGTATATTTTCATATATTATATGTTGTTATTTTGGTCATTATTCTAGTCATATTTTATTTTCAATACTAAAATGTAGTACATATTAAGTTTTTCTAAAAAAAAAAAAAATTGAGTTATAAAACACTTGTAAACTTTTTTTTTAAATGTAATGCATTTTCAGATATCTAAGTGTGTGTATTATTATAAAGTGTTCATTTTAAAATTTTAGCTTCATTTATATGGAGGAGGATAAATCATATGTATTCACAGGCGAACAAGGTACCAGAGCAAAAAACACCACTTCTGACACACAGAAATACATATGACCACCATAGCAAATCTCTTTAAAAACTGTTTTTTTTTTTTTTTCGAATATAATGCTACCGGTGTCCACAAAAGAAATGTTTTGCAATAAATTGAAAAATCATAACAAAAGCATTGAGAAACTAAGAAGAGTAGCCACAGTAATAAAGATACAGTTTAAAATTGAACTAGAAGACTAGGAATGAAGCCAATCATAGAATTTATTTAAGACCAGATTGGATTGTCAACCATATGACAAAAAATGTCCTGGTACTAGCTACCACAGACAGCCATAATGAAGAATTATAGTGGGCACATAGCAAAGAGAAAACCATGCAGCAGATGAGCAGTAACAAGAAAAACTTAAGAGAAATGGTAAACTTAAGTGCATTAGAAAGAGCAAACAGAATATCTTTAAATCCTTCCTCAAGGGGAAAACAAGAAGCAGTAATATTCCACAAGAATTTAAGAATGGTTATTTTATATCACAGCTAATCCTCAGGCTTTTAAAAATATTTTGTGTTGCAGGATGTTGCCTGGTTTGATAATCCCAAGAACAGTGTTGGAGCTCTTACCACGAGGCTGGCTACAGATGCTTCACTGGTGCAGGGGGTAAGTCATAGTGTAGCACCTCTAACTTCTCCAGTTTGCCCCCTACGTACACTGGTATCAGTCATTCTGACTTCACTTGGCTGTCACTAGCACACTTTAATCAGACATTTGATAAAATGTCACATTACACATTATAAACGATTTCTTACAACATATTAAACATGCCATGACCTCCTATATAGTCATTATGTTGTTAGCTGTCTTCACTACAAACTCAAGTTACATTTGGGTGACAAAGAGCAAAAAGTTTAGTAATATATTAAAACATTTAATGATTCGAAAATATTTTTAAAGGAATAATTAAAATTAAGTGTGCATGGAGTAACATGAAGTGTATTATTGAAAGAAGCATTTTGCTGCATAATTGTTTTCTTCTGCAGTTGAGATGTTATGCATTATGAGATGTATTTTAATTTTACAAGTGTAACATATTAAAACAGACCATACTAATTCATTCGCCGTGCAACATACACATATTATATATCAAAGTGACCAGGGATTGTTGAGGAATAATTATAGAATACAGCTACAGCAAATAATTGCGTTAGTAATTAAATATTATAACATAAGCAGACGGTATGTTTACAAAAAATAGTAAAATATTTTTTAAAATTCCATTACCCCCATGGCACTCAAGGAAAACTGGTTTAATTATATACAGAATTAATCACAAATGAGTAAGAACCACTTAGTAATGTATAAGTAAAATATAAACAATCTATGTGTTAGATTTTTTTTAAAGAATCTTTTGAAGCATCACAACAGAGCACCATTATTTGGTAAAGAAAACTTGACTCCCAAAAGAATAAGTATTTTCACTCAAAACGAAGTTTATCTAACACTCAATTTGCCTGTAATTTTGTAACTATATTCCTAAATAATAAGGGAAATAGCACTAGAACTAACTGACAATGAAGAAAATCATCTTTTCACTGTTTATTATATTTGTGCCAGCTGACTTTGCTATTGTTGTACCTTTGCGTGAGATACACATTAGTTAATCAGTCATCAAAGTTTGTCTTTATAAAAGTCTGAAACATGCCTAATTTGCAAAATTATCTAACTTCGGATAAATCAAATAAACACGTACTTCATTTAAATCTGAAGCTTCTAAAGTCGTAAATCATGTTGGCATGAATTTAAACTATATTGCTTTGCGGCCATATTCTTTTCAAGCAAACGCTTAGTAACTCAGTAAATCTCGCAAATATACTATATTTTGGGCTTTCAGACCACATTTGTAAATGAACACGTCTGAAATCAGACAAAAAGAACTCAAAAGGAAGTTGAAATTGAGCGGTCCGTGTTTTATTACTGGTCAGCTGTAAATTGAAAACCTTCACTTGTCATGCGTCAATTGGGCTGGGCGGTTGTAACAAATTAGCTCGTGATGCGTTCCCTGGGACTCAAAGTTCACTCGGATTTTACATTAATAAATACATTTCATGTTTTTTTTTTTTTAGTATTAACAATCTGAAAAATGTGAATTGTTGACAAGCATGTTGCTAAAATGTTGAAAGGAAGTGTTAGTTGAAACAGTGCTACTGAACTATTATATGTGGGTAATACATGAGAGAGAGAGAGAGAGAGAGAGAGAGAGAGAGAGAGAGAGAGAGAGAGAGAGAGAGAGAGAGAGAGAGACTGAGTGAGGGAGTGGGTAAAGAGTAGGACTGAGGGGAGAGAAAGAAGAGAAAAGGAGAATATATAGTGATTAGTTTACTGGTCAGCTGAGGTTGTTATAAATACATGATACTCTTTTATGTCATGTGAATGCAAGTAAAATGTTTATCATTTATAATTAGAGTTTCTGTTGATATTAGAGTTAAGAGATAAAGCAAGGTAAGATGGTGAGAGATAATTCTCAATAGCCTTAGCTCATCATGTAGCTGAAAGATTTATTAATGTAAATAGAAAGGTACCACTGATTGCAGGGTATAAGTTGAGTTTTTAAGCCTTACAAAATTTTTTCCAAAATTAGGGGTAGACTTATATGGCAGGTATAAAATGTGTTAGATACTGTATAAGCCTGACTTTTAATTTTTAGCTAAAAATCTTGAGGTTGACCTGTAGCCACAGTTTAGTGTTGTTTTGAAAACTACAACTCTGGGAAGCATGAATGTCTATGCAATTAGCAAGCCACTTGATAATGATTATGAATATGACTATCATAATTTAATGATTGACATGTTACTAATTTTTGCAAGACATACTGGCAGTCTTATTTCTTATTTACACTTAGGGAATGTTGTATGTATTTTTAATTATTTTCAGAATGTTTGTGGGAGATGCTCTACTTCTTTACCAGTAAAATAATCTTTCAAATGCAGCAACATATAATTATATTTTTTTAAAGAAAATAAATAAATTGTGCAGATGTTGCTAGAACAACAGCGAATGAAGAGAAAGATAAGACCAATGATACTTTTGAGATCAGATAATGTTTGCAATCAGTGGTAGCTGTTTTTATGTGTCTGTATGTTTTGTTTTGTTTCCTTTATATTGTATTGTATTTCTTGATAATGCAATATCAGTTACTGGTGATTCTGTTTGATAATGTTCAGAAAGCAAAGTGATGTTTGTAAATTTAAAATTAAAAAAATGGTAGTTGGTTATATAATGACAAGAAATAAATTGATTATATAGATCATCATCATCTCCCAATGAATCACTTTATAAAATGTGAGGTCATCACTGTAGTTGTGACTTTTTAATGCACCAGGTTTTGGCTTGTGTTACCTGCTTTTTGTCTTACAAGAGAGTTTTGATCATTAATTGATAGAATATGTTATTTACTTTGTTTCCGGGAAGGCTAACCCGGTCAACAAATGCCCGGAGAAGTCGGATGTGTTGGCCAAAAGGTGCAAATATCGCAGCCATGCTGTAAACGGACACAACGCAATTACATCTTCGGATGAACGCAGAAGAAGAAGATTTACTTTATGTAAAATGGTTTGACCTTCTAGAGCCAGTGACATATTAAATTTTGAAACTTGTTTTAATATAGAAGTTAACTGTGGTGCCATCACCCACCAAGTGCCAAGGTCTAGCATTATATGCCCAATAGACCTGAGGGCGTGAATAAGGGTCGTTTACTTTACTTATGAATCATGGTACAAATTAAATCTGGAAAGGATGGTTGGTTTTCTACCCAACGACAGGAAAACTGTGTTTTTGAATTTGCTATCTAAACATCTAAGTATCAGAGATGGATACTGATAATTACTGTGTAAACATTCATAATTTCTCATCAGATAATTCAACCTAAATTAAGTTTCTTTGAGAAACATACAAAAGACTGTTGCAACTGTATATGAACTTCAAATTACAAGACGGGTGCTTGAGTGTTCCCACATTAGGATGTCAGCCTTTAATCTGTATTCAAACAATGCCTCTCACGTAGTGCTGGATTCTTTCAAACGATGCTTTCAAAGGGTACATTTACTGAAGGATGATCAATAAAGTAATCATAATTATAAGTATACTTTTAATGCACAAAATAGGAATAGTTAAAAAATGTCACATAATATCCGTCCTAATTATAACTTAGAAGGCATGTAAAAGATACTATGTTGAAATAACATAAATTACCTAAATGGCTGATAGAAATGATTGTGCAGTGTGTAGCAAATTTATACATAAAACATGCAATGCTCACTGTATGTCCAAATTATAACACAGTGGGTTGAATGGGACATTATTATGTTAAAAAAAACTACTATTACAGCAAAATGGTGTGTGGTCTATTGCTACAGAATTATTGGTGCCTGATACAATATTGCATGTGCAACTGCAGACTTCTTGTAACTACTGGTTCCATCAAATATAAACAGCAGTTCTAGTGGTTTGTGTTGGCACTTTGATGGCTGTTTTGTATTTAATGCTTTTGGCTTTGCCATGAATGGTGCCTGTTCTGCCAGGGACAGTGATGGGCATTTGTACGCTTTATACTGGTACAGTAACGAAGCAGTTATAGAGTGACCTCTTTGCCATGAAGTTTGAACTGTGACTAATTGACTACTTAAGCAGAGTAGGCAAACATACATTACCTATGATTTTATTTGTTTGAACAGGTCACAGGCGTGAGGCTCGGCACAATGTTCATGAGTTTGGCCAACATGGGGGTAGCAATTATCATCTCCTTTATTTACGGCTGGAAGCTGACCCTTGTCATCCTGGGCTTTATGCCCTTCATTCTTCTAGGAGGTGTCATGCAGATCAAACTGTTGGCCGGACAGGCTGGGAAAAACAAGGAAGCCTTGGAGGGTGCAGGCAAGGTGACTGTATATTCTTTTTTTCAGTGTTTTATAACTGTAGTCCAGCAGGTTTGACTTTTGTTCACCATTATTGTTTTTTTGTTTTTTTTTTGTTCAACATTAACATATTTGATTGTTTTAGTGATATCTGATTTTTTGACTGTTTTCTGGTAATATCTACTTAGCTATGTGGAATGGGTGAGATTTGTTCTAAAATATATGGTCCTATTAGCATGTGTGCTGGAACTATTTTGTATTATTTTGGTTTTTGAATGGAATAACAAAGTTAATTAAAATGTATCAAAGAAACATGCTCTATTCTATTTTTTGGTAACTCTTTTACTCTGCAGTAAAAAATATATACAATAAGCACAGTAAAGGCACCTTGTTCATACTGTGAGAAGTAATGGGTATATGGTGCTAGCTTCATAATATTACATCCTGGCACTTAATGGGAAGTGTGGCCAAGGATTATGCTGATCATCTTTGCAAAACTTTTCTGGTATCCATTTTAGGTTAGGTTGATCTGAGAGTCCAAATCTTTTTTTTTTTATGGGGGGGGGGGGGAGAGATCTTGATAAGTGATTATCTACATGACCACTTGGTTGATAGCCACTGTATTAAAATGGCTCCTTATTGCACAGGCAGAGAAACGGAGGAAGACTAGATAGAGCCGTAACGCTAATGCTACACTTACTGCAGCTTCCACCTGTTGTCCACACTTTCTAAGAACTTTCTGGGCTCATATTGGATTCATCAGCCACCTTCATACTCATAATCATTGATCGTTACTACTTTGGATGAAACATGGTCTTCGCCACTAGTGATGGATGAACAACAACATAATGACTTCCATTTGAGTATGTGAAACAAAAATATAAAACTAGTCTGTCACCTAAATATGAAAACTATTAATAAATTTTAACACTTCTAATTTAGTTCATTGGTGAGTAGTGATGATGCAAAACTAACCTGAAGTAATGGCTTAAATGTTTCTACAGCGAGATAATCAGAGACTTGTTTTCACTGTTTTTAGGTTGCTGTTGAGAGCATTGAGAACATCCGAACTGTTGCTCCACTAACAAAGGAAGATGCATTCTTTCAACTGTACATGGACAACTTAGAGAATCCATACAAAGAGGCTTTAACAAGAGCACACTTGGTTGGGCTGACATATGCCTTTTCTCAAGCTATCATTTACTTTGCATATGCTGCAGCTTTTGTGTTTGGTGCATATCTTATTGAACAAAGAGAGATGGAATTTCGGGATGTGTTCCTGTAAGTTTGTTTTCACAAAAGAAATATTTGTGCCTTTTTTTTTTTTGTAGTCCATAATTCATTTTATTTACTTTATTTTCCATTCCTACATTCTTGTTTTCCATAACATTTTAAAATACTAGTTTGTAAAATCATTAACTGAGAAAATTAGACAACTTTTAAAATAGGATTTTATTTGGAGGGAAAAGCAGTCACACTCCGAGTGGTGATGAAACACAGTAATATATATTATAATAATTGGGTATTATAAATTAGAATAATTGGGTATTATAAATTAGAATAATTGGGTATTGCTAGTATTTAACTAGCTGGAGTTCTTTTCTATGTATTATGTATGTATGTATGTATGTATGTATGTATGTATGTATGTATGTATGTATGTATGTATGTATGTATGTATGTATGTATGTGTGTGTGCATGTATGTATGTATGTGTGTGTGCATGTTCGTATGTATGTGGATGTATGTGTGTACTTAGTGCCTATATGTTTGTGTGTTAGTGAGTCATTGGGCTTGTGTGTGTATGTGTGTGTGTGTTCGCGCGTGAGCGTGCGCACATATTTTACCAGCCATGCTTTTGTTTTTGACTTCATATATATAATATGCATATTATTACATGAATATAACATGCTTCATTGATGAAGTACAACTGCTGTGTGAAAGATGGAAGTTTGGAAGGGCCGAATGTAAGACAGGCCTGTGTGCCTAATTTGTAACCCTTTGAAAATAAAGTTCGTTCGTTCGTTCGTTCTATATTAAACTCAAGTATTGGAACAATACCATTAAACAAAACTGACTGAGAAACATTGAATTGGTGAATTAAATGAGATACTAGGAAATTATTTTATTGATCTTTTATCTTTTGTGCATATTTTGTTTTGTGAAGTTGTCCATAAAAAACAAAATTCAAAATGTTAAGTATTTCTACTTGTACAGCTTTATGTGTTTCAAATTTTTCCTTTTTTTTTTTCCAGAGTTTTTGGAGCCATTGTATTTGGAGCCATGGGTCTAGGAAATGCCGCTGCTTTTGCTCCTGATGTAGGGAAAGCACAGGTATCTGCTAAAAGGGTTATCCACCTTATTGACACAAAGCCCACATTAGATTACACAAGTCCAGATGGCAATAAATTACCGGTAAGTTTTCTATTAATTCATAGTGTTCACATTGAGCAAACAGCCAAAACTAATTGTTCTCAGTTTATGTCTGTTCTGGATCTACCTAACTTATGAAGTATTTGGCTTCAGATAATTTTATTCTCACAGTTCTGATGAGATGCAGAAAAATATGCCTGGCAATACTTTGTGCAATGTATTGTTTATGTTCTGCAGTATTTAAATTCATAACAGGAAATCTTTGTAAATAAATATATGGAAGCTGCAGAAAAGTGGTTCTGATGAATATGGACAGTTTAAAAGGGAAATGGTGACTTGAGATTAATTCATGATGTGGACTGATTATTTGCGTGGGAAGGAGACATTCTACAAGGAGAAAACCAGAGTACATTGTGACAGAATTGGAGAGGAAAGGCAGATGGAGACCGAAAGAGAAAATTTAGACTGTTTAAAATCATGGCATGGACGAACATCTGTTATAGAAATGACTGAAATAGGCATGATATAAAGTAAACAAGAAGCTGCAGAGATGAATGAATACAGTGGACAGATTTTTTTTTTTAAATTACTGATTTAAGAATTGACATCACAGCACACTGATCCGTCTCCTGCAGCAAATATAGATAAAAAGAATAAGGAATATAACTCAAAAGAATTTAATTCATGACTAGAACTGATTACCAACATTAGAAGATGATGTCCCCGTTTGAGTTCCGGGGCTCTATTGTAGGGAAAACCAGAATAGACCCACTGCCTACCCAAAAGCATGTCGTAAGAGTCGACTAATTCAGAGCTTCCTTCGCAGACGGGGTGCATCTGCCTGAGAGGCAAGGAACCAACAGTCAGATATGTAAAGTGGATGCACGTGCAACACTCATGTTCTGGAACAGGACTACAGACCAGAAGTGAACAAACAACCAGAACTTTACGCCAGAGTTTACAGCTGGTAAACGCCAAGAAGAAGAGAGAAGATGACAATATATTTCTTTGGTCACATCATGAGAAGAAGAAAGCTGGAGTACATCATGATGGTGGAAAAGTTAGATGGGAAGAGGAGCAGAAAGAGACGAAGAAAAAAGATGCTGGACAGTTTGACATCATCGTCTGACAGGAGTCAGTTTTATTTTTATGCCAGGGCACTCTGTCGTAGGAGGGCGTGAACAAGCAGATTGGCTTGTTGGCAGAATCGTGTTGGATTGGAAAAAGCAATGGACCAGACCAATGTGCTCAGTGTTCTCAAGGAGGTGGGATGAGTAGATGATTCAGGGGATGACAGTGAGTTGGCAACATTCAAAAGACTCCAGGTCAACAGAGGTGTCACCGGACATTAACACCATACAGATAGCCAAAGAATAGTAAACCAACACAAAACTGGTGTTATATTCTGAGGGATATAGATGGAATCCGAGTGCTTATTGACTTACCCGATGTGCATTAAAGAAAATCTGTCAGTTAACTACTAACTAATCTGAAATTTTAAATTACATCAGTTTTACATATATACCATTCACAAAACATCAATAATTACAAACCTGATTTATTTTATAAAATTGAAATAAAATTGATGTAAAAGAAATATCTGTAAAGTACAACAAAATATTCCAGAGAAGGAATTTTTCTGAAAAGGAAAAATAATTGTTTATTTTATATAAAATTTCAGAATGATTACAAGGCAGAAGTTAGTTTCAAGTCAGTCCATTTTCGCTATCCAAACCGAATTACTGTGCCAGTATTGCAAGGCTTAACCTGCTCAGTGTCTCCTGGTCAAACACTTGCCTTGGTAGGAAGTAGTGGCTGTGGGAAAAGCACATCTATCCAGTTGATTGAACGGTTTTATGATGCTGAAGAGGGTAGTGTGGTAAGTAGACTAGTTCTTGAAATCTGTTTATGTTTGTGGCTGCCAACAGGTAGGAAAAAACATAGTCTGAAATATTTCTTCTTTTTCTTCACATTCACCAGCTGTAAACTGTGGCAGAAAGGCTGGTTGTTCATCCACTTCTGGACTCTAGTACTGTTCCAGAACCTGAGTTTTGCATTTATATCCATTTCACTGACTTGATTCATTTGTATGCAGACTGCTGGCTCCTTCCGTCTCAGGCAGATGCAATCCAACTTCATAAGAAGCTCCCATTTAGTCTACACTTATGACATGTTTTTGGGTAGGCAGTGGGTCTCTTCTTGTTTTCCCCATAATGGATACTGGAACCAACAACGGGATATGAAATGTTAAAAAATGAATGTTACTTAACTTGAAACAATGCAATTTTTATTCTCGAGAATTCACAGTAATATATTCATAAGACTGTTCATGGCAAATATGTATGCAAATTAATATTCCAGTTGAGTAGTGACTAGAGCATTGCAAGGGTAGGTAATGGATTATTACATTTACGGTGCTTTCATTCAATGTATTCAGAATACATTTATGGTGGCTTTCATTCATTTTATTCATAATATATTTATGGTGCTTTCATTCATTGTATTGATAATACATTTATGGTTAGTTAGTTAGTTGGGTTATCATCATTGCACTCCGGACATGTTCATAGGTGCTCAGCATGAACCCCAACGTCCGATGGCTAATAGTACCAGTTCCATGTTGATTAACAAGTCTTCTGGTGTGTCTGGTGTGCGTCTCGTTTTTTGCTATGCCGATCTTAATTCCTAAGTCTACCATTCTGGCGAGTGATGTGATTCACTGCCCCCAAAGTCCTCTATCCTTCCCATTTCTCTGAGGGCATTAATAAAATCAGCATGATCCATAGGCTGACCATCAATAGTGATAGCGAATCCAGCCAATCTATCAGCTCTTTCATTTCCATTGACGCCTGCATCTCCCCGAACAAAAATAAAAGTGACTCCACGAACAGTTTACTTCTGTAATAATTCAAGCCATTGTCTTTGCACGGAACCTGCCTGAACCCTCCGGATCATACTCATTGAATCACTGAGTATACATACGCGGGTGTAGTTTATTGTTTCAAGCCAGGCAAACTCTTGCGTCACTGCCATCACCTCCATCGTCATTCTGCTGATTGTCATGGAGAAGGTGCCATTGGCTTCTTTGACTGTTCTGAGCGTGATGCAAATACCCATGCGCTTCATTTTTGGCGTATAACGGATCCGTCTGTGTAGATTAGTCTGAATTTTCACTGATAACATTTATGTGCTTTCATTCATTATATTCATAATACATTTGTGTTGCTTTCATTTATTGTATTCATCATACATTTATGTTGCTTTCCTTCATTGTATTCATAATACATTTATGGTGCTTTCGTTCATTGTATTCATAATACATTCTATGTTGCTTTCATTCATTGTATTCATAATACATTCTATGTTGCTTTCATTCATTGTGTTCGAAATACATTTATGGTGCTTTCATTCATTGTATTGACTGTTTTGCAGTGCCTTGCCAATAACGATGTAAAGACTCTGAATATCCAGTGGCTGAGATCTCAGTTGGGGCTTGTATCGCAGGAGCCAATCCTGTTTGATTGCAGCATTGCTGAAAATATTGCTTATGGTGACAACTTCCGCACTGTAACAATGGATGAAATTATTAAAGCGGCTAAGGAAGCCAATATCCATACATTTATTGCCAGCCTTCCAGATGTAAGATTATTGCTATTATTTACATAGATTATTTGTTACCAACATGAGTGAAAATATATTTATTGAACTGAAGGTTCACAGAGATGTGGTTTCTGAGACGAATGTTACAAATACCTTGGATGGCAAGAGTAACTAACAACGATTGCTTGAAAGAAGCTAATGAATGTAGATGTCTATATACAACAATAAGAAAGAGACAAACACTGTCTTTGGCCACATAATGAGAAGAGAGACTTTAGAGAACATCGTGACAACTGGAAAGATCAGTGGAAAAAGGGGTAGAGGCAGACCAAGAGAGATGATGCTGCATGGCTAAAATGATGGCATGGAAGGATATCATCAAGAGAGCTGTTCCAGGCCACCAGGGATCGTGATCTGTGGAGACGCATGAGCGCCTATGCCAGTTGGCAGGGCACATGATGATGATGATGATGAACTGAAGTGGATAACCGCTTATGGCACCTCTCTTAGAGAAAATAATATCTTCAAAATGTTATTTAGCTGCCCTAAATTATAGCTTTTATATAATATCTAACGTAAATACTTAGTCAAGGGTTACAGCACAACGGTGTCAGTGAAATAGATTTTACTGCTACAGACGTTAGTTACATCATCATCATTGTCAACCTGCAGGTTGTGCTTTACATAATGTTGCTCTCTTCACAGAATGCTTGAAAGTCTCTCTTACTAGCCAAATCTCCAGCCCTGTGTGTTTTCATAGACAACGCATCTTCAGTGGCTTGTGTCCACATTCACGAATGTTGGCCTCTATCTCATTTTCTGGAAATGCACCCACCATCGCCGTTCTTTCCAGGCCACCATGATGCTTAACATGGCCAGAATACCTCATCTTTCAGGACAGGGTGCTGTTTATGACTCAGTTCTCTTTGTGACAAAGTTCTCCTTGATCATGTAGGATGTCGGTGTTTTTCTTTTTCTTGGTCCACAATACTCTAAAAAAATTATGTAGCACTTTATAATTCAAAAGCTATGAATTTCTTTAGCACTTTGATTCAAAAGCTCTGATTTTTGTTTTTCAAAGATTTAATAAGTCAATGACACATCCATAAGTTACCCTCAGAAAGATGCTTGATCTCAAAATTTTTACTTCAGCTGGGTTACATGTTCTGTTCCATAGATTTTGTCAACAGGGGCTTGTTCTGGCTTCTTTTGTACAGTCACCATTGTTGTTCATTATTGAGCCTAAATATTCCAGAACTGTGACATTTTCAGTCTCTTCATTGTAAATTTTAATGCTTGGTATGCTGTATTCGTTGTGGAATTTTTGTTGTTGTTTAATTGCATCAGGATGTCACAAAACAGCCAAAGCATTTATTGGTTGTTTTTGGTTTTACTAGGCAATTTAACATTCAATGTAATATTGCTTTCTAAATGGTATGATGCTTATACCCTTGTCAGAATCAATCAAAGGGGTCTGCTACCAAATGGCCTTCTGCTGATCTCATACTCTGGTATATTTTAATCATAAAATTGCATTCACAACCCTTTAGAGGCAGGCATTTCAAATTGTGTCTAAACACTAGCATCTGAATGGAATTTTCAGCATAGTAGTTTAGAATGCAGTTTAAATCTACAAAAATAATGCACCATTCAACATACCAATTGAGGATCGAATCAAAAGTATCAGCTGCTTGCACTGTGCTGACTAAGAAGCAATAATTTTTGTTAATATACTATCTGCTACATTGTAAATGATGTGCGAGGCTACCAAAGACAACTGGCTGTTATAGAGAGTGACTTTCTTGTATGCAAGAAGCTTCAAGAAACCTGTGGATTAATATTCTGAACATGTGAAAGTTGGTGGTGACTGAACAGATTAATTAGCTTCTAAAGCAACATTACTGGACAGTGTTTAAAGGGGCAAGTGCTCACTTATCACCCATCCTTTAAGAGTTGAGAAAATGAGCCTATTAACGTACATACGTACATGTTCAGAAAGAAAGATGTTAGCTCTTTTCAGAATCTTACGTGATGTATTTCCTGGCATATTGTGCTGTATCTCATTAGGTGCATTGCTACAGAGTATACAGTGACATACAGTGAAGCACAAAAACAAGTCCTTTTTACTAAACAAGATCACATTGTCTCTTGCTACACTGTACATATCACACCAGAAGTTTAAGATTAACAATGTAATCATTTTGTTTACATAACACATGATTACCAGTTAGTCAAAGTATGTCAGACAGTAAATTGTGCAGTATATTGTATCTTTTCTCACTATTAACATACACAAGGAAAACATTGTCTTTTTCTTGATCAGTCTCAATGTACCTACCACTTATTTAAACAAAAACATCTTTGTAAATGTGCTATTTTTTCATCCTAGTATATTTAAATTAAAGGTTATTTTTTTTTTTTAAATTTAATCTTTGAATGATACCCATGTATTTTACTGTTTTGTACTGCTAATAATTCAGATGTGTGTACTTTCAGGGATATGAAACAAATGTTGGTTCCAAAGGAACCCAGCTAAGTGGTGGACAGAAACAGAGAATAGCTATTGCAAGAGCACTGATTCGGAGCCCGAAAGTTCTGTTGCTTGATGAAGCAACATCAGCGTTAGACACTGAGAGTGAAAAGGTTTGCTCCTTGTTTCCATTTTATTTAAACACATGTGTCTATCTTTCTGTGTTTTTTATAAATTTAAAATAGTGTGTTTTATATAAATGCATATATATGTGCGGCTCCAGCAGTAGTAGCAGATGAAGAGAAAGAAGAGTAGCCCTCCTTTGTTTTGTTTTTATGAACTGTCAGTCCAAAGGGAACAGGAGCTGTGTCACTGTCTGACGCCATAGGAGTTAGTCAGTTTCAGGTAGCATTTGCATCTGTCCATACATTGTAGCTTTGGCCTTCCTGCAGATCTTTTCCCTGTTTCCAGTTCACCGTACAGAAGATCTTTTGGAATGCAACTGTCCTACATGCCTGAGATAAATTCCAACTGTTGCAGGCATCTTTACTTCAGCAGAGAGTAAATTGTTGACCTACCTGCTTTTTCTTTTTTGGAGTAAACATTTGTTGGGGACAGGGTCTTGCCGTGATATGCCTTCTGGGTTATAATTTGGATATACAGGTTTTTTCCTTTTCAGAAACTGAATATGTATGTTTGTTGAATATTTCCCTACTTAATGTTGTATAGATTACAGTGTTCATTATAAAAGATTATAGATTTTGGGACCCATATTTTTAAAATGGTCTGGATGTTTTTTTATTATTATTATTTTTGTAGCCCTAATAATACCCTTTACCATGAACCACAAGCAGCAGTCAGAGTAGCTGGTGAAACATCGGATTAGTTTGAGGGGCAAAGAGAAATAAGACAGGGCTGCATCTCTCTCCATCCCTTTTTAATTACATGCTTGGAAATATATTTTGAGAAATGCAGTTAGTTAAGAGGCCTGTGACAGCTTTGATCCACTCAAAATTGTTGGTAGACCTATCCCAGGACTCAGATGTGCGGATGACAAGTGCTCCTTTCCAACAGTACATAAAGCTGACTCAAAACTGTAGCATAATACCTGCAGGCAAGTTAAAGTGAACATTTTGAGATTGTAAATCTTTTCCATGGCAACTTATGGATGTGTCATAGACTCTCATTCAGAGTCTTGAAGAAGAAATTCTGAGCTTTTAAACTGAAATGCTACAAACTGGTTCTTAGTTTATAATAATGGGCCAAGAAGAAGAAAAATGTTAACATTCTGCATGACCTGAACATCAAGGAGAACTGACTCATAAACAGCATCCTATCCTGAAAGCTAGAGTATTTTGGACACGTCAAACACCATGGTGGTTTGCTTCTGCTGGCCTGTCTTCCTTCACTGTGTTCATCTTGCACTCTAAACTTTCCAATTATTTAGGGTTTCCCCAAACCTTTAAGCTTCAGTTTTTTTATTGTAGTTTTAAATTTTTGCCACCAAATAGTGCCAAACATGAAAACATTAAAATTGCTGTACCATTTTGGCAAGTTTTCTTTTTACTGACTTATACGTTTTACTTTAACAGGTGGTCCAGGAAGCCTTGGATAAGGCTCGTGCGGGTCGTACTTGTGTTGTTATTGCACACCGTCTGTCAACCATAAAAAATGCAGACAAAATTTGTGTTGTCAGTCATGGCAAGATTGCAGAGACAGGAACCCATAATGAACTTATGGCAAAACAAGGCTTTTACTATAAACTGGTCAAAAGTTCTGTTCGTGCATGAGTTATACATTAACATACAAATCATCATACAAATGTACATAAAGTGTTTCTCCCAGATCTTTGCCATATTTTAAAGGTATTAAATTTTTTTTTTAATTCAGTGGTCACATTATGTGTGTTATAAAAATGTAAATAAGTATAGCAATGCTGGGAAAGACTACTGCCTCGGCATTCGTTGTATCCGGTATATTCATGGGTTGTTGTTTTTTTTTTCAAATCTTCAGCAGCAGACCTTATTTTTTTTATCTGAGCTTTAATATCTTAAGAAGAATTATTAGCTTTGTGTGTACATTTAGGCAAATTGTCTTCTTCAGTGTGCTGTCTATGCTGTAAATTTACTTTGTATAATAAACTAAATCAATATTCATCATTCAACAAGTCAGATCGGTGTTTTATTGTTACATTTGTTAAAAAGTGATACATTTTAACCATATTCCATTTGTTTCAGTGTTGTTCAAGATGTTAAAATTTATTCCTGTGTCATGTTTGTATTTATTGCTTGTTTAAAATATGTACAGATCAAACTATGTAAAATACATGTTATTGTTTCATTTTATTCATACTTTTGTTATTTATGTGGGAAGTTCTTGACGTTCTTTTCTCTCTGCATGCTCAGGATGCTAATACCTCAATTAGAATAACATTTGTATGCATTCAAAGTGCATTTAAGTCACTGATTTATTAAAAGGTTAGTGTGTTTCTGTTAACTGTGACAGAAAAAGACATTTGTCAGTTTGATCATTTTTCTTTATTGACACATATACTAAATATGGCTATTCTTTATGGTTAGTCTGAATTGAGTGATTTTATATATATATAGGCAAAGGAGTTATAAAAAAATGCTTGGACAACCACTGGTACCAACTGTTACAAGACAAGATGATTCTGTACTAGGCACATCATGAGAAAAAACAAGCAGAGAGAGACCACAAAGGGCACTGAAATGGGACATAAACTGGTTGAGGAAATGATGTCCAAAAGAAACTCTAAAAGGAATGCTGATAAAAGAAGCCAAAGAATTCCATTCATTATATCAAAAGGATTTCACAGAATAGAATAATCGCAGGTGGTGATTAACATTAAACCCCTCGAATATTGACCAATAAATATTTGAAATACTTATTGCTTATACCTTTTTTTTTCAAAATATATATTATGCGGGTCATTTAATTATTTTATATTTGTTATATTTTAATGCCAAAGAAGTAGCTTTGAGATTGTATTTAATAAATTCAAGTTCAGACTACTTACCATTTTGGTAATTTACTGAGTATAAGTTTCTTGTCCAGCCACAGCAAAAGTCTCTAAAGATTGTCATGTAGAAGAATGTTATATTTCCAACATTAGAGGATAGAAAAATACTTAGAAAGGGCAGGGTTCAGCGCCATGTCAGTAAACTTAATTAGGTCAATCAAAACACTTATCATATTCAAGGCATTATGTAATCATGCTTATGTACACAAGGCACTGCTACCCTTTGTAGAAGAAAAGCTAAATGAATTACCGGTGAAATGTGGCAAATTATTGTTCATTTATCCAGTTCTTAATGATTAAATTGCCAAATTCAGTAATGCATTATTTGTTTTGTAGTTTATCTGTTGGACGTGTAATTGGTGACTTGTTTACTAACTGAAACTTTTATATTCCTCATTAATGCCAACCCAGTATACATGGTGTTGTAAAAAAGTGTTTGTGGAAACTTGTGCTGTTCCATTTATGTATCTTTGAAAATTCAGATTATGTAGTCATAATGTTGTAAAACAAAAGTTGTTTTCATATACTATTATTTGTGCCCAGTTCTGAATAGAATCAGGGTTGAAATCCAGTACATGATTTTAGTCTTTAAATTAACCATGGTTTGTAATAAAATGCTGGTGAAGATGATGCACATTTAGTTTAAATGCATGCTTTCAAATACACTAGGACTCAAAAGTGAGATTTTACTTTATATCTTTGTATAAGACACTCAGAATACCATGAACAAAGAAGAGGAGAAATACTGACATTATGAAAGATCTGAACATCAAGAAAGATTGGCTAATAAACAGCATCTTGTTTCAGCAGATGAAATATTTTGGCCATATTTACCACTACAGCAGATTGAAAACAATTATAGCAGAAGGCATGGTACCAGGAAGGAGAGGCAGTTGCTGCCCAACATGAATATGGGCACAGGATTTAAGTCACTCCTTGGATATGAAAGTGCATGAGGTGGGAGAGCTGACAAGAGACCAAGTTTCTTTCAGGCAGACAGTGATGAGAGCGATCTTTTTGCAAATATCTGCTACCTGATAAGATGTTCAAGAATATCTCTCACAATCCGCTGTTTAGCGAAGAAAATTATATGGAAGCTGCAGATGTGTGGTTTAAATATAAATAATAAAACCTGAACAGATAAATGGTATAAAGATCTCTTGAAAGAAATAAACAGATAATGAGAAGCGGCTTCCTGTATCTGAAGGGGACATAAACATATAATATACATCTTTATATAGTTTTTTTTTTAAAGTTTTATTATCATTGATTATATTGAAAATGGTACTTGAATATAGCTGTTGTTTTGCATTAACAAACCACATGTCACACCCTCTCTCCTGTACAGACAATGCAGTTATTTGTTTTATTTTAACTTAGTATTAACTATTTTAATTTTCTAACTTCAAGTCAAAATTGCTAGACAAGAAGAAGCACATTTCCTGGCTGTATTGTTCTATGTTCTTATTTACTAATTTGAAGATAAACTTTTCAGAAGTTTTCATTATGATGTACTTTTCTTAAATTTTTTTACATTCGAGAACATAGAGAGGCGTCTCAAATTAATTGAGAAACAGAAGTTCAGATGGTTTGGTTATCTAGTAACAATGCAGCCAGAATAAATACCAACGCAGGCACTACACATAAAAAGATCTGAAGTGAAAGCATGGAGCCACCCTAGGAGAATATGGATTGATGACATAAAGCTTCTACATCGACAGGGAGTCAGCATCTGTGGCTCAGGCGTTGCAAACGCGCTTCGTAATGCCGGGGTGCTGGGTTCGATCCTAGTTGCTGGCCTTGCGTCTTGCATTGGCTTTGACAGTGGTACCAAGAAGCTGACCGTCCGGAAAGCAATGGCAGACTACTGGACATAAACTTGCCTAGAAAAACCACAACAGCCAACAAATGCTGGGGTTGGTTTTGCAACGTCCTGTAAAGGATATGCAACTAACTTAAACATCAACAACGATGACAGTAACCACTGATGCCCTTCAAGCAATGGATCACAAACTGTTCCTCCCTACAATGCTAAATTGCAGAAGTGGAAAATGATAATGGAGAGGGGTATACCATATTACTAAACAAATATTTTATATTTTACTTATTATTTTTCTTCGGCCATTACTGTTTGCTCTGCGTTTCTTTTCTTTTTTTCAATATGGGGCACAAACAGGGTGGTATGTTTGAGATCTTCACTGGTGCCCACAGTTTATCTTTTAAGGACGCTCCTGTGGGCCAGATTTCTTCTTTCTGATTGGCAAAGTCTGGGCAGTCCTGTAAGGCAGGCTCTGGAGTTTGCTTTGGTGAGCCACAACCACATACAGCAGAATTAGCAAGACCCACTTGATGTAGGTGTGTGTCGCTGTCAGGAGATTGTAGTCCCATCTGACATGTACGCTGTGGCTACTGTAGTCATTGTTTTTTTTTATGTGGCAATTGAACCTTCAGTGTCTTGTTTTTAGCCGGAGAATTGTTTATGATGTTTTTCTGTAGAGTCTGATGATGGGTTCTTGTAGATGTTTACTGTTTGGTTTTTGCTCCATAATTCTTATTTCCCCTTGATAATTGATTTGTTTTCTGGTAATGACAGTGAATGGTTGTGTTGTTTTCTGTTTTCTCCTTTGTTCAGTTCTTTGCAAGTCTTATGCCAACTCATTTCCTGATAATAGTGGGCATAACTATTAGCAATGGGGTTAACCTGGATCAAGAACAGAAATTCAAGTATTTAAGCATATCAGCAACACCTGAGGGAAGATGTCTCACAGAGATCAATAAATCGGTAGACAAGAAGAAGCAGCATTTAATAAAAGGACAGACATTTGCTGCAAAAACTGAGATTTCAACTTCACTACAAATGGATAACCCCCATAATTCCTCCATTCTGGGCTAGTGAAAATCACCTGAAATGGAGTTTACTGTCGCATTTGAAAACTTGTAAACATACAAATTATTCCAAGCAAAATCCAGAAGCAGGCACATGCACTAAAAACATAAGGCAGCTACTAGAGGTCAGCCACTAGAATTCCTATTCTGAAATGCTGCATAAGATCTGAAACATCACAGATTAGAGAAAGTATTCATGCATATTACATAAAACCCTTAACTTTTGAAAGCATACATGGGAATGCTCTGAGTGCTGGAATGTAAATTCTTGACTCAACTAACTTTTATCATAATACAAAAAGATCTCAGTATGGGAAACTGAAACATGCTGATGGAGATCAGTAGATATGTAGCATCATGATCACTAATGTGCCCTGGCAAAAACAATAGTGATGATTACAGGATTTAGTTTTATAAATCATTAAAACTGGCTTGTATGTGACCCCCTCACTAATCTTCTTTACAGCCTTAGGATTTAACATCGTTAAATATTTGTCTGCCATTCCAGTACCATTCAGGCTCTTGTTTTTGATACATCTTTTATTTACATAAGAGTGGTTTTTCAACATTATTCACACAAAATGTCACCTAATTATTAATTTTTGCAGGAAATCAAATGTATTTTTAAAATTATAAGACAGAGCATGCTTTTCCCCACCAGAGGATGAAAATTCCGCTCTTGAGTCCCAGGGGGTTCTGCATCAGAGTCCCAAGGGGTAGTCAAGAGAGACGTAAAATCGGCACATCTTGCGTTTATTGGGCTTCTAGGTAGGAACATAAGTACATATGATGCGTTTCTTGGGACTGAAAGAGTTAAGAACCGTTACTGGCACAAAGTTTGTTTTCATACAATATCCTCTTCCCACATAGTTCCACCAATATACATATAATAATAAAAGCAATTCATATTATAGTAAGTTATAAAATTATAGATGTATAGTTAGTAAAGATTCTATATTTCAGCCATACACATCTAAATGTGTATTTGTTAAGAAATATGAGTTACAAATTCACTGTCATAATGTATGGATTATGTATTAAACAGGCAAAATACAGGAGCTCAGTAAATACAACAATCATACACAATTCTTTTCACAGCAAGATGCTAGTTTTATATAACTGTCTCCATTATTTTTATTATGATGATGATTTTTTGGATATAATTAGAATAATATAACTGTCATAGTTTTCTCTTTTAATTTTCTACATTAAATTAAAGTTAATAGATTCATGCTTGATAACTTTATTCTACCAATATTATTGCATGTCTTGTCATTTACAGTCAGTGTTTCCTAAATTAGTTTGGTTTTATTACTTATCAGATACTCCCTTATAGTTCTTATTTATCTCTCTCTTTCTGTAAATATATATATATATAACAAACTAAGAGGCCAGTTTCTTGCACTTGGAAACCAAAGCTTCTGAAACCATTGATTTCCCATAAGCACTGCTATATTTTCAGAGTTAAATGATAAATATGTATACTTATTTAAACTAAAATATTGTCATGAATAGTGTGTGAATTCTGCAAAAACTTATCATTAGGCTGTTTATTTGTTTTAACCCTAACCTTTGACTAATTTTTCAGTTAATTTTCATTGATTTATTTAATTTTTATTTTAAGGTTGTGTGCAGTCTTGTTTGCAACAAGACTAATTTTTCTGATTATTTAAAGACACAAAAATATATATTTTTTATATAACTGCAGTCTGTTTTGTTTAACATCAAACTTATTCTATGGCCTGGCATAATCTGCACGTTTAGCCATGAACTTACCTGGAAAGTTGATGATTCTGTTTTCTGTTATCTCTCATTGATAGAGTTTGTTCTTTTATATTTCTGATAGTTGATGGTACTGTGATCCTCTGCTCTATTTTTTAATGCTCCAATATCATCAACTGCCTTCCAGGATAGTCAGCCGGTCTCATTTGCTGGTATCCGATAGTAGGATTAAATCTACTGTTTCTTTGTACCCTTATAAGTACTACTTAAATTACCAAATGTCTCATAATGGCTATGTTGTTGACATGGTGTGTGTGTGTATATATATATATATATATATATATATATATACAAATATATATATTCATATTCTGGCTCGTAAACTCTTTCAGTTCCAGGTGCCGAGTTAAGAACCAAAATCAAAGCACTTGGGACATGCCTGAAAGCACTCCGTGCCTTTCCCTGAGCGTTGAGCGTCAATTGTATCACATGGTCACTTCCTGTCTGTGATAATGTATTTGTGCTGTCGAGCCATTCACTCACTCCCTAAAGACCTTGATAACCTTTAGTTTATCGTGCATCACTTTATCATAAATAGTGCAGAACCTACCAATCTGTCTGCCCATAAATTTTCTGTCCCAAGTTTTAAAACCTTCAACTCATTCTACCTCAGACTGTTATCTTTACAGTAACAAATACCTTAGGGTCTCTAAGACACATCAGCGGCAGAAGTAGAAGCTGGATATAAAAGATTAATACAACAAGCGTGTATGACAAGAAAGTAAGCATCATATATTTTTTCTGGAATTACAAAAATGTGTTGCCTAGCACTGAAAGAGCTAGGAGTGCCTGTTTCACTGTCTCATCTCACAAATTCTTACATGGTGTTTTTTGTTCTAAATCTGTCAGTTGCATTAGATTCTGTTTGCATACTTATGCTTGTTGAATTGTATAGATCCAGAAAGTTGACAAATTATTAGTAAGGAGGGCAGCGCTTTTTTATTTTCAAATTATTTGACCATTCTGATTTGACGTGACTGGGTTAAAGTATAAAACAATTATGTTTCATTTCAACCACTACATAAAACAGAATCAAAATGATGTAACGATAATCAAGAGCATTGCCTAAGTTCAAACATAGCAGTTGCAGGATTACTTTTTTTTTTATTTCTGACTAGCATAGATTTGGGATTATTTTAATCTCATTAAATGATAACATTATAAAAAACACAAAAGATTGATTTAAAAGGAAATGTGGCAAGGACAGAAAGTGGCTAGCCTGCCTCTTCTTCTGTGTTTGCCACAAAAGAGCAGTTGGCACTTTGTGGTGTGTTTTACAGTTAGAGACTGCAGTGTATGCACCTTTCAGCTCAACACATCCATTGTCTTTCATGACGTGTCTGTCAAGAAGAAGTTTATTCTTATTTCCATAAAAACAGGATTCCAGGTACAGGGGCTAACCTCATCTCATTATTTATTCCATGACCTAGAATATCTGAAGACCACACTTGTCATGCCAGTTGGTAGTATTTATCACTATTACCTTGGCAGTAAATAAATCTCTCAATCACTGTCTCTTCACATACCTTTTTTCTTTTCAGTTTTAATTTTGACATTATTTTAAATTAACTGATAAAGTTATAAAATTGATTCCTTGTATTGAGGATCTTGTAGATCAGTTTTGAAACATGCAACTGAACTGATTGCTACATTCATTAAAATAATTGTATGTTGTTTTACTGTTTTGTTTTTTAAGAATTCGTTTATTAAAGAAATAAAAACATACATAACATGTCCTGGTTATGAATGAAAATTATTTTATTTTCTATTTACATGATTCTTAATTACCTCCACTTACAACTTGAATTATGTTAATTACTTCAGTTTTGTTAGAGGTTCCTGGTGGGTAATGTTCTTAGTTTTTCTTGACATGCCAACAGTTTTAACTGATGATAGAAATTATGAAAATAGCCTTGCCTGTGGAAACAAACACTCAAGCCACTCAAGAAATGCAAAACAAATACAGAATACCATGACACTGGGCTACTACCTGGTTATAGTGACAATTTAAATAAACAAATACAGAATACCATGACACTGGGCTACTACCTGGTTATAGTGACAATTTAAATAAACAAATACAGAATACCATGACACTGGGCTACTACCTGGTTATAGTGACAATTTAAATAAACAAATACAAAATACCATGACACTGGGCTACTACCTGGTTATAGTGACAATTTAAATAAACAAATACAGAATACCATGACACTGGGCTACTACCTGGTTATAGTGACAATTTAAATAAACAAATACAAAATACCATGACACTGGGCTACTACCTGGTTATAGTGACAATTTAAATAAACAAATACAAAATACCATGACACTGGGCTACTACCTGGTTATAGTGACAATTTAAATAAACAAATACAGAATACCATGACACTGGGCTACTACCTGGTTATAGTGACAATTTAAATAAACAAATACAAAATACCATGACACTGGGCTACTACCTGGTTATAGTGACAATTTAAATAAACAAATACAGAATACCATGACACTGGGCTACTACCTGGTTATAGTGACAATTTAAATAAACAAATACAAAATACCATGACACTGGGCTACTACCTGGTTATAGTGACAATTTAAATAAACAAATACAGAATACCATGACACTGGGCTACTACCTGGTTATAGTGACAATTTAAATAAACAAATACAAAATACCATGACACTGGGCTACTACCTGGTTATAGTGAGAATTTAAATTTAAAAAAAAAATACAGCAACAACAACAAACATCACGCCTAAAAATAAATAAATCTAGATCCATTTCTGTCTGTGAGTGTTCATATGTATGCATATCTTGAACGTTATGTTGATTTATGTTATATGTTAGCAAGTGTATGAAGGTATGGTAAACAGCTGTGCAATATACAGTGCACATATGTTTATATTAAAGATTTTATAATATATTCAGCATTCTTGTAAACCAAAGACTAATAACCCTCATTATCATCAACTTCCACTTTTGCCATTAAGTATCATAGGGAGAAACAGTTTGTGGTTAAATGCTCTTTAGGTATCACTAGCCATTGTCATTCCGTGTGTGTGTTTAATGTCTTAAACCCTTCTTCTCCTATCAGATCTTTTTAGGCGTAGTGTCTGTCTTGGTGGTAGCTATGGCTGCAAAAGGCCAATTGCCCTTCTAATGACACACACGAAGAAGAAGGTTTAGAGAAGGAAAATGGGCCGCAGTGAAACTGATCTCAACACCAGTCAAGAAACAATTGATCCACAAAAACATGGGGCTAGTGCCATATGGTCTATTGACCTCAAATAATGGAAACAGGCTCTTTCATTTGCCTATTTAACTGCAGCATTAAAATTATGGTGGTGCAGTTACTTCAGTACTTACATGCTGGCTTGGTGGTTCTGTGTTCAAATCCCCACTGATATTTCAATTTGTGACAAGAACATAATTTAAACACACGGATACCAATAATGTGAAGATGAATTACAAAGACTAAAGAGCAGACTGGGTGAAAATTTTAAATGAAGTCTGTCAACTTTATCCAAATGCTGTCTCTAAAAGATTGTGGAGATGCATACTCTTTACAGAGCAAACACAATATTAAATAAAAACACAATATTAAAACTGTTTTAATATAAAATAAAACAACTCAAAGTAGTGTAAAAAATAAACTAGTATTTACTGTCAGAAAGGAAGTAAAAACCAATGATGTACAATGGATTTTTAAAAAAACATCCCTGTAATGTGACATTTTTGTATTTTCAAACATTGTTTTTAAGCTGTCTGATAATCTATGCTTATTCATTCTTGTTGATGTGCCAGTATTTGTTCCTCTATTCACATTTTCTTCCACATGTTGATATATTCATTTACATTACTACGCAATTTTCCTTGCTGTTTTTGGTCTTTCTGTCCTTCTTAGACTTCACTGTCTCAATCTGTGAGCTACCATTATTGTTTCTTTCCTGCATTTCATCACTGAACTCTTTAATTAAATTGCTAATATTCCTATAGTCCTCCTTAAGGTTTTTGCGAATATTGTCAGCATAGTCGATAAAGTTGGACAGAGAAACACCCTCATAAGCAGCTGAATTGGAGTAAGTGGAATAAGGAATGGACATGGGAGACACTTGTTTAGTCGATGCTGAGCATGTAGGTTCTGTTTGAATACCTGCAGCATTACAGGTTAACTCGTTATTTACCATAAATGTTCCATGATTATTGTCGTTTCTTTGGCATGGCATAGGAGAGGTCATCAGGTTCATTTTCCTGCTTTTCCTTCTATTTTCACATCCAGTTTCGTATGCTATATTGTCGTCATTGTTGCTGGAGTGATTGTGATTATTTAGCAGCATTAATTGTTGTTTCTTTTGTCTGTAAACTTGTGGATCTGCATATTTACTTCTCTTGTGTTGGTAGTTTGCTCCAAGGTCTTCTGCCTTTTGTCTCTTGAGAGTATCATAAGTATGTGAATATGTTTGTTGATTGTTATGTTTCTTGTTTTCGTAAACGGAGTCTCTCCCGTAGAACTTGTTATTCTTTGAAACCATCTCTTGTGAATTAAATTTGTCTAACATGGGCGTTATTTTCTTACTGACAGTTTTTCTATTGATTTCTTCTCTTGCTGGAAGTTTCCTGTGATTAGAAGCATATGCTTTCTTACACTGACCACATTCCCTGCATGTATGTGTGCATTCCTCAAATGTTTGTGGGGAGCTGTTCAGCAGGGAAAGCTGCTGTAGAATAAATTAGGAAAAAGAATGAATTATAAACATAATGTAATAGGAGTAAATTATTTAAATATTTGGAAACATTTTTCTGGTTTGTTGTGATTGACACTATAATTAACTACTAATCAGAAAGGAAAATCAGTAGCCATGGAAGTTAGATGTTGGATAAGTGTTGTAGGAGTGACCAGAAGAGATAAAATCAGGAAGGTTGTGATTAGAGAAAAAGTTGCAACATAACCAATTATAAATTACATATAAAGACAGCATGTCAAACATGAGGTAGACCAAGAACATATGGAAAGATAACTCAGAGAAACACTTTAACAGTGTGGTGGTCACGTATATGGTTGAGGTGGCCTGAATTGTAAGAAGCAAAACCATATATCTTCCTCGATACCTGGAGCGGCAAAAAAGAAGTAGAGAAAAAGACGAGAAAATTAATTAATTATATCCGTTATGTGTAAGCTCAGGTGCAGACATAAACATTTTAAATATATCTACTTTATAATAATCTTATCAACTCTTTCAGTCCTGCGGTATTTTTCAGCATTAAATCCAAGGAGCCATAACCCAAAATAAAATTTAAAAAAATGAGTAAATAACTTTCATAGTGGCTGTATACATTACATGGCATGTAAAAATATCTAGCCAGATACCTTTACTATTCTCACGCCAAATGTAACAGACATAAACATATCATGCATTAGTGTTGTCGTCCCCATGTGGAATGCAATTTTTAGTTATTTTGAAGCCCCACCTTGGCTTTTGCCGGGGGTCCTGAATATAGCCAGGCCTTAAATATGGCCTAACGACTGAACGCGATTTCTGGGACCTCTCCACGGGTGATCCTCATCTGCATGATGGCACTTTGTCACCGGTTTTTATCGCTTGTGTGATGTCCTGGCGGGGTACAACTTATCTACCTATATATCATGCATTGTTTGATTCATATACGCAATAGTTGACCACACATTGGATATTGCTTAGGACACACCCCTCCCCACACCCCACCCAAAACAAAAGTTACTATTATATTTACCGTGAAAGCCACTTCATGAAAGAAAGAAAATTCAGCATAACTTTAAACTCAAGAAAAGAGTATTATATTTCTAATTCAAATGATATATCAGAAAGTTTCTATAAATAAGACAACAAAACATGTACACAATTACTATGTTGATAAATTGTTGTTATAAAGAAAGGATAAATAATTAGCAGTGCACAATATTGTGACTTGTTCCTGGCATTGCGTGGCCGCTTAAATGCAAAAAAACTCAGATTGCTTTAAAGGAACATTATTTCCTTGCACAATAAATCCAGACCCTGCACTGCTAATCGTACATGTGAGCTGATACAGAGTTGATCGAATATACAGCACACCCTGGCAACCAGTGGCTTTTATTTATCAGACTTTTGAAGACGCGTCTCTCAGGAAAGAGATACGGAGCTGATGACATAGTATAGCATGTTGCAAATGCTCATTAAGTGGATATAATTTACAATTAGTTGTGAATCCTTTACAGGACGTTGCAGAACCAACTCCAGCACTTTCTGGCTGTTGTGGTTTTTCTAGGCAAATTTACGTTTGGTAGTTTTCCATTGCCCTGGACGGTTGGCTCTCGGTACCACGGTCGAAACCATCGCAAGACAAACCGTCTGCAGCAGGGATCGAACCCAGCACCCCGACATTACGAAGCGTGTTCGCAACGCCTAAGCCACATACGCTGACAATGGGATATTCAACAGTAATTTGTTGTGGTTATAATAGTAATGGATCTCAAAAGCAAAGTAATTAAACCATTTGTGCTGCACTCTGAATGTAGTGAGTTCCATCTGAGTATACATTCCTTCAGTTCGTGAGTGCATGAGTTTTCACAAATTACTGGCTTGTTACTCTGGAGCTAGGGTGCTTTGTGCGAATCTTCCGATGGGTGAACAAATGATGGGTTTTTAATTTGTGAGTGGTGGCTTTCATTATAGAGCAGCTGTTGGCTCACCAAGATCACCACACTAAACAGGAAACACCCTTATCTCCAGCGACGACAGCTAGGATCTTCAAATTTAAAGAGCAACTCAGTGCCAGGCAAACGGTTTATTCTTCGCCAAGGAGGTTCGACACCAGCAATATATATATATATATATATATATATATATATATATAAAATTAAAAATTACCTCCCCTTGCACGTCATTAGTTCTGAAGACTTTGATTGTTTGTTTGTCATACCTGTGAATTAAATATGAATTCATTGTATTGTTTACAACAACTCGTCCCCGTATGGATTCTAGAGCCCCATGGTGGGGAGGGGGTGAGAGACCGACCCACTGTCCACTTCCACCTCCCCCCCCCCCCCCCCCACCCCAAAAAAAAACCTGTCGTGAAGTCTAATTAGGGGTGTATTTTCGAAGGCGGAATACATCTGCCTGAGCGGTGAGGAGCCTACAGTATGAGTACAAATAAGCCGGATCTGTAAAAGGGATGTGCATGCAAAACTCAAGACGGAAGTCCAGATGTGGACGACCAACCATAACTTTCCCTCTGGAGTTTACGGCCGATAAACGCGAAAAAATAAGACTGACAACAATTCAACATATTTCTGTACCAGATACGTGTTTCTTCAGCCGTGGTGTAGCAAGTAGCACTATTTTCAAGTAACAAATGTTTGGGTCTGAAAGTGTTATAGTGACTGGGGGTTGTTACAATTACAAGTAAAGTTAATGACTGGGGAGAGGTGGGTTTATAGATAACTGGATCGGACAGACAGGGTTCGGGAAATAGTACCATGAGTTGAATCATTAACATAAATCTGGTGGGTTTAGGCCTTCAAATTGGTACATGAACATGAGCTGGGAAATGAAGGAGGCTTGTGTGATATTCAGCTACTTCATTAATAGAATGTCGTTTGGTCTATAAAAATATTAGTCTAGCACTGTATGACCGATGATCTATGGTGGGTTGCTTTTTACGACAAGAATTGTTGCGTTAAGTCCCAGATAATTTTTTATTTTTTTTTCAAGTTGTTATAACCAAGCTGTTGTTACTCAAAACGCTGTATGTGATTGAGGGAGGAGAGAGAGACTGGGGGGAGAGAAAAATTTTTTTTTTTTTATTCATGTTTCAGGAGTACCTATGAAGTCTAGAAGCATGACTATGAGAGTAAATACAACAAAAACACCAGGGAGAGGAAAATAGATATCAAGAGAAATACACTATGTCAAATTAATACCTTTGTATGGATCAGAAACATCGACAACGACTAAAACAAACTTGCTAATAAAACTATGAACATTTTATAATTGATTTATGTGCAAAATATAAATTGCAGTAGTACTAATTTTATACAGATATCCCGTTAAACCCTTCGGGTTATAACTTGGATATAAAATGTTTGTTAGTTTCCAGAATATATTGTTGCTATTTTGTATATTGTCTAATCGCTTCTTCCTGATATTTATGCGATATTGTCCTGGTCAGACCTTTTTTTGTCGTGGTTATTACAGAGACTGTACTGTGCGTGTTTACATAATCCTATTAATATTGTGTCATTCAAGTGGGAGGTTTATTACATCTGTTGATCAGAATAAAAGGGATAAAGGTAAAGGTAAAGTCGGGAGATGTGAACCAGCGTCATTGCACACGGTTATAAACCATAAGTGCTCTGCCACCAGTGCGGACAGCTGACGTGGCTCCACAAAGCCGCAACAGGGATAAAATAGTACGAAAATCATTAAATGGGCTTTGCCAGTGAATCAAGGAGTGAGGAAGTCACTGGTACACCAAAAAAAAAAAACGGATAGGACAGATTGAGAAACCTGATGATAGGATCACAAGAATGTCCTTTTACTGCAGCTCACAGGGAAATAAGAAAGAAGGAGAAAACAAAGGAATAATGGGAGGAGGACTTTAAGGAGCTTCGGGATATAGCAAAAGGTAGGAAGGTCCAATGTTTGCGGGAATAAAGGACACACTAGGCAGAAATAAAGTAATGCACTTATTAATGCAACACCTTGTCGTGTCCTTCCAGTAGGAGTCGTTATCTTCTGAACTCTTCTTGTTAATCTCTTGGTAGTAGTCTTCTGAATCGGCATTATCACTGGTCAAAGTCGATAATTTCATGACGTTTCGATTTCTGCTGCCTTTTTCCTTCATTGGTTTTGCTGTTAGCTGAACGTAGGTGTCTGCCAGCAACTTCTGTTGAACGTAATATACATGTTCTGTCATTCATAACTGTGTGTGCTGGATGGCTGTTTTATATATTCTGTCTGTCTGTCTGCCTGCATGCCTGTCTCTCTGTCTATATATGTGTGTGTCTGTCTACCTGTATGTCAGTCTATCTATCCGCCTGTCGGTATATCTGTCCATCTATCATTTATCCACATTCCTACCCGCGTCTGCCTAATGTTTGTTTGTTTGTCTGGCCATCCGAACCTCTCTCGCTCCACCTCCCCGCCCCCAGTACTCCCCACTTCATCTTATTCAATATTCAAACATGGAATAAACAGAGCTGTTTTGAAGCAACCGAAACAACTGACCTTTTTCTCATCGGTGTCCGCTTTTACATACAGATGCATGCCAGAGCCGGACAACGACAGACCGACAGTATCCAGCTGGATCTCTGTCTCATCCACAGACACCGTCTTGAAGCCTGTCCCGTCTGTCTTGTTTCTTGCAGCCCTTCCGTGCGCGTCTTTGGTTGCTACCCCGTTTGTATTCGCATTCAGATGGGTAGTATTGGGAGTGGTCGCAGATTCGGCAAACTGGCAACACCCCCCAAACAAATCCCAGTTAAACTCTGCATTAGTCTTGAAGTGTTTTTAACATGTGTACTCATTACAGGCGAGCATACGCGCATCTTATTTGTATCATCATCATCATCACATCCCGGGCCGATTGGTGTATGTGTACACACACACACACACACACACACACACACACACACACACACACATACATACTGACGTATAATACAACATAACATTCAAGTAATCATCTGGTAATCACAGTTCCAACCATAGCAAAAGCGTCACCTCATAGTTGCTCTGTTCCGGTATCAACAAAAACCCCACAGAATGTCCATCACTATCCCTGGGTGGTGATTTATACAGATTGCAGTCTTAGCACATCCGATAGTGCGCACTCACACACACACACACACACACACATACATTTAATGCATAATGTAGAGGTAAGAAAAGCCAACACAAACAGACCGACACAAGACATGCAGTTCATGGTCAATGGAAGCAGCAAAGGGAAAAGTTCAGTAGTTGCACGCGCAGCTAATCGCATAAGGCACCACTCAAGTTGTCTGACAAAACGACATCTCCATTTTGTGAATCTGCAGTTCACAACAGAAACGACCTTGGGCACAGCGGAAAAGCAACTGAACCCGCAGGTCACAGTGTCGCACCATACACTCAGCTCAGCAGCTGAGCGAAGGGACTATTGATAAAACTCAGCAAACTAGCAAAATCAAATATACAAATCTTTTCTACCCACTTAAACTCTGCATTAGTTTTGAAGAGTGTAGCATCACATTTGTTACAACATATGCAACTGTTATAGATTTGCATATGTTTATTCTATTAACTTCCCCTGTTTATACAAATATAAACAACCCCAATTCTATATGATTATAGTCTACTGGGATTAGTATGGGATGCTCATATATTCTTGATAAAACTGTTCACAGCTAGGTTGTGATATTTGCGTCTTTCGACTCAATACATACGATTTCAGTAAATCAATAATTAGTCGCATTTTTCAACTTGCTTTTTAAGGGTTTTTTTAGTTAAAAAAAAAGTAAAGATCCCCTTTCACGCCTTTAGGCGTATCGGGTATATGGGAAGAGCTTCTATATTGTTACAGAGCATCGGCACTAAGTGGGTAATGTGGTTAGCATTACGCCGGTCGTCTTTACTTCCCCGGGACAGCCATACTGGTACCCATTTTAGGCTGGGTCGACCTGCGACGCTCCATACCATGAAAAAATTCACGCAGCCAGCAGTGGGTTTTAATAGCGGTACGTTGGAATTACTAGTAATGTGGTCAGCATTACGCCGGCCGTCTTTACTTCCCCAGGACAGTCATAATGGTACCCATTTTAGGCTGGGTCGATCTGCGACGCCCCATACCATGATACAAATCCACGCAGCCAGCAGTGGGTTTCGATAGCGGCACGTTGGAATTACGAGTCGGACTCGCCATGCTTAAGTCACGGACGCTGATTTTTAACGGGAAGTAGTTCTATTCCCCCACCCACCCCCTTTTTTTCCTCCCATCTCCATTGGAGACACAGGAACCCACGGGAAAAAATAATAGCATCGAAAACTTTTTGGATTTGGGTTATACAAAAAATCTCGCAGTTCTTCTCTGTTAATATTTTCTGTTAATATTTTCTGTTAATATTTTCTGTTAATATTTTCTGTTTATATTTTCTGTTCATATTTCTTGTTCATATTTTCTGTTCACATTTTCTGTTAATAAAGTTCTTTCCCCTACTGGCTGCGCAAGAGCATGTTCTTGTATTTGCGTCTATTGTTTAATGTTTTCATTGTGATTTTCGTCAGTTCATGTGACGGCGAAACTGTAAGACTCAAATGCCGTGTCTAGGTTAAGAAGAGCGTGCGTACCGTTTATTTCCTCCCGGCTGCTACCTTTTGAGTTTGACACACTGAGATCAGAAGAGTTCAGTCTGGGCGGCAGACCCACAGGAACTCATCTGAACCATGAGACTAAAAGAATCTCAGTGCCCGTTCAACTTCAAATGACGCTTAAATAGGGCACCCCTGAACAGCAACACGTGCCTGGTTATGAGTTGGATTATCCGGACACATCCATAGGTGCTCAGGTTGCCCTCTCAACAAATTCATCAGCGTCGCGTGGTTAATAGTGCCACCACTGGACGTTGATGAAACCCTGGTAGGAGACGTGGCACTCGTGCACGAAATCCGA